CCACACAAGAAAAAACGAGTGGCTAAAGAACTATTATAACATCAGCTGGATGGACAACCCATAGATCATGCCTATCAGTATATTTTATGATAAATTGAACAGGAAAAGAGAAAAGGGAAATAAACTGGACTGCTTTCGGGAAATGATGTATATTTCAAGACACCAAGTTCCCTCTGAAACAAAGGCCCATCTTTTTATTTTATTTTTTATTTTTTTGCTTTTTTGGTGAGGCAATTGGGGTTAAGTGACTTGCCCAGGGACACACAGCTAGTGTGGGTCAAGTGTCTGAGGCTGGATTTGAACTCAAGTCCTGACTCCAAGGCTCTGTCCATTGCTCCACCTAGCTGCCCCAAGGCCCATCTTTTTAATATCAATATTCCTCTGGTGAAGTTTTTTGGCTACAAATTACAGAATACTAGAGTCTCTGAAGAACTGAAATTGAGGGCAGTGGAGAGGTACATGGTGGGTGTAGGCAGGTTACAACACATTACAAATACAGAATTACAAAGAAGTAGGATGCCATCAAAAAATGTCTGGGGTAAAAAGATAGGTTGCTTGTATAAGCAATAACCAATGGAAGACTCATGCCCTCCACCGGTATCCTCACAGTATCAAGAATAATAAGGAAAAGCCACCAGAATGTTGGATGAACCCTTCCTTGAATTTTTGGAAGGACACTGACAAGAGTCATGCAGGATAAGCATGCGTGGCTCAGTTGTGATCTGCATCACAGTAAGGAATAATCACATCAATGAGTTCACAGATCCATCTGACTATGAAAGCCCCAATTTCTGCTCACACAAAATGGGCATAATAATATTCCTACAACTGACCTCGCGGGATTACTATAAGTACTCCGCAACCTTTAAAGTTACATCAATGAACTTACTGGGCCTCAGCTTTGTCAGGTATAAAACAAGAGTTCCTTTAGATTGGATCGTGGGACTACAGATTTAGTGCTGAAGGAGCCCTGATTCTCCCAGAGTTTCTTCTAGCTCTAATTGGCGTGATGCCCGTGCCAGGCCAGAGTCTGAAGCCTACCTTTGAGGATCACGGTGCCATCTCCACAGGGGCAGAGGCTTACCACATCAGGCATATCCAACACCAGCTCCATGGTGGACCGATAACCCAGGATTCGGAGAGGCAGGTGATTACCCACCATTGACAAGTACTCCCTTTCCAGCTGCTGCGGGGTCAAACCATCTTTGGTGGAGATGAGGAGGGACCTTATCTCCTTCCTCAGACATTCCTGAATCTTCTCTTGCTCCGACATGCTCCCTTCCCTACAGCAGGATTAAATAAGCAACACATAAGCTTAAGGAAAGTCAGTATTTCAAAATTTTAATGTTAACAGTTAAAAAAAATAACACACGGGGTGGTCAAGGTACGGGAGAAGCACAGCAGCCAACATGCTCCCTTCAATGACTCTAGCCAAGTCAGCGTTCATTAAGCGCCTGCTGTGTGCCCGACAGTGGACTAGGAGCCAGAACAGGAGGGAAGGCAAAGGCGGCCCCTGTCCTCCAGGAGCGGCCAATTCTCCGGGGACTGGTTTACTCCAGTGGAGGACCAACACGCCCCCAGGTCTGATCTTGCGGGTGCACCGCCCCGGCGGGTGCAAAAGCTAGCACGAGGCTGCCCCCTCGCCCCGCCCCCACCCCACCCTAAGGGGCCGGCCCGCTGTTTCCCTTGGTCAGCCCTGCCCGCTCTTCTCCCTCGGGCCTTCCCGGGCACTAGCCCGGCACTTCCCCCCTCCCGCGGGCCCGACCCCAGCCCCGCAACGTTCGCCCCCAGCCCGCCGCGCCCCAACGTCCGTGCTCGGGCCCAACGTCTCCTCAGGCCGAGGCCGCAGGGCCGGGCCGGGGCGGGCCAGACGCGACGCGGTCCCTGGCCGCCTTTCCCCGCCGCTCACCCGCTGAGCTGGGCCGCGGGGCCCCCGCTAGCGCTCAGCTCGCCGCCCTCTCCGGCCGCTGGGGCCGCCGCCGCTCCCTCTGGCTGCCCGAGGTCCGGTGCGCGCGGCGAGGCGGGCGGAGGAGCGAGCTGTGAAGGAGGGGCCTCGCGCCTGCGCAGCGGCGCCTGCCCCTCCCGACGCCCGGGACGCGGGCCGCCGGGCCCCTGACGGGAAGCTGCGCGAGGGGGCCGGGGCCCTCGGGACGGTTGGGGCGCCACGAGGCCGAAGGACAGGGCCAGAAGCGGGGGCGTCGCCGTCCTCCCCCGCCCCCTGCGGCCTAGCCCCTGCCCGGGCGGGCCGCTGCCCCCGCCGGCGCCCGGGGGGCGGGCCGCCCCCCCGGGGGCCGCGGACCGGGAGCTCGCCTCCGGGGCTGCGGCGGCGGTCGGGGGCCGGGAGGTCGGCGCGGGGCCCGCGGCCTCGGCGGCGGCGGCGCCGGGGGTGGGGGACCAGCAGCTCTCCCTCGGGGCCCCGGATCCCGGCCCCGGGCCGGCGGCCGTTGGCCCCTGCGGCAGCCGACGGGCCGTGCGGGGCGGCGGCGGCGGCATGGGCGGCGGCGGGAGCAGCAGCGGGCGCGGGCAGGGGCATCTCAGGGCTGCCGGGAGCAGAGCGAGGCCGGAGCCCAAGCACCAGCGGCACATCCCCGGGGGTAGCAGGAGCGGGGCTGCCCCGACGACGGGGGCGGCGACCCGGAGGAGGAAGGGCGGGGGCGGCGTCGGCGGGGCCACATGGATCCTCGTGCCGGGCCAGGTCCCAGCGCCGGCTGTGGCTGCAGCTCGGCTCCGGGTGCGTCGTCGCGGGGCAATGCTCCCTGCCGGGCAGGGTGGGGCGGGGCAGACGCTCCCGGTGCTATGCCCGCCAACGCGGCCGGGGCCGTGGCTGGGGCTCCCGAGAGTGAAGGGGGCGTCCAGACCTCCGACTTCTCCGCTGCTGTGCGGGGGTGATGGAAAGCCGAGCCGGGCGGAGAAACAATTAGCACACAATGCAAGGTGCAAGCTTCCTCGGTAGTCCCGGGGGGGTGGCCATGCAGATTCAGGCGCCCAGAGCCTGGCATCCGCTCTTCGAGAGCTTCCTCCTGGCTTTCTTCGACGTTCAGCTGAAATCCCGCCGACTCCAAGAGGCTTTCCTGCCCTGTCCTAATGCGAGGTGTATGGGCACCAGAGGTGGTGTCTGACCAGAAACCTCTCCAGCCTTTGCATGAAGACTTAGAGGCAGGGGGAGCGCTCCTTCGCCAGTCACCTCCACTTTGGAATAGCTCGCTAATTGTTAGCAATTTTTTTCTTACTCCTAGAAGAAATTCTTCTCTTTTTAAATTTTGAGTTCTCTCCCTCCCTCCGTCCTCCCCCACCCCCATCCAGTGAGAAGGTAAACAATACGATAGCAATTATACTTGTGCAATCATGCAAAACATGGTTCCATATTAGCTATTTTTTAAAGCAAGAAAAATATAGTGAGAAAATTATGCCTCAGTTTGCACCAGAGAGTTCATCAGTTCTCTCTCTGGAAGTGGATAGCATTTTTTTTTTTTTTTTTTGGCCACAAGTCCACTGGAATTGTGTTTTGGATCATTGTATTGATGAGATTAGCCAAGCCTTTCACACAGTTCATCATTACAACATTGCTGTTACTGTGCACCATGATCTCCAGGTTCTTCTCATTTCACTTTGTTCTTGTTGGTCTAGACGTGAAATCACCTCCCTCCTCATTTCCTATAGCACAATAGCATTCCTTCACAATCATATGCCACAACTTGTTCAGCCATTCCCCAACTGGTGAGCATCGCTCAGTTTACAATTCTTGCCACCACAAAAAGAGTTGTTATAAATATTTTTGTACATATAGGTCCTTTTTCTTTGATCTCTTTGGGATACAGACTTAGTGGTATTGCTGGGTCAAAGGATACGCACAGTTTTATAGCCCTCTCTGACCTTTTTAAAAAAACATTCAGGGACCCCATAACGTTTACTGAATAAAACAAAAAGTTCCAATCTTTAGAGTCTTCCACAATCTGGCTGCAAGCTATCTTTCTAGCCCTATCATATATTCCTCTCCATCATGTACTCTTAGTTGCAGCCAAAAATGGACTGTTTGCCATGTTTACTTACTCATCTATATACATTTATATATATATTATATATATATATATGAGACCACAGAATGGACTCCTCTTTCCCCCACCCCATTTCCTTCTGCTTACAAAAGTCTTTCTAAAGTGAACGTAAACTTTAAGTTTTTCATACCACTTTGCTTGGACTTTGCCAGTCCCAAGTTCCCAATCCCTTTTTTAAATGGTCCAGTGAAAGATTATTGAGAGGAGGGGAGGGTGTGACCTTATAAGAAAATTTGCTTCACAAACTAGGAAGTTCCATCTCATTCTCTGTTGGTATATAAAAGTCCCAGTTTAGGGTTGTTGAGGAAGTGATAGAATTTGGAGCTCAAAACTTTAAAAATGTTAAAAATCATTTTAACATGCAATTGGGGAAAAATAAATATATTATATAGACATATATGTCATAGGATCATAGATTTAAAGCTAGAAGTGATCTTGAGAGCTAAGCCAACCCCATCATTTTATGGAAAAGTAAACAAAAACACTTCAGTTTTAGTAAACAAACTTTTAAAAAGTTAAGTGACTTAACTAAGGGTCACACAGGAAAGTAGCAGAGAACCCAGGTCCTCGTTCTTACAATGGAACTCTCCACTACATGCTACTATTTTTTTCTTTTTACCTATGGGGAGTTATTCCAAATCCACACACCTCACATTTGGTACAAGCCCACTGGGTAACCCAAAATGGGGAATACTAGGGTCTCCAATATCAGTATAGCTTTTGCGACTGCCCCCTGATCTAGGACGTCCTCTCCTAAAGCTGCAACCTAGCCAACCTAAGTACGGGCAGCTGGTGCAGTGGAAAGAGCGCTCCACAGTGCATGCTTTAGCCCCCGTTGTGGCCATTGGAACAAATTGTTCTCATCCACCTATCCTGTCAGGGAAGTCTTCACATGCTTGGGGTAGACATCCCCCTAACTCAGCAACATGGTTTGAGGGCTGTCATTTACCCTTAACCTGGTTTAGCCCGTCTGCCAAGATGGTTTTACTGGGGTGTGGCCTCTGCACGTGCTAGAGCTTCCTGGATCCACAGGTGAAAGCTGAATGACAGCCCTGAAAACATCGAGGCAAGCCCTCCTACCAGAGGTGCTAGTCTTCCTTGAGCACACCATACAACCAGACACTAGCAACTGGGGAAATAAAGAAAATCTTCACGTGTAAGGTCATGTTTGAGCAGAATTTTAAAGGAAATGAGAGTCTAGGAGACAGGGGAGAGAAGGAAGGGCATTCCTGGCATGGGGATAGCTAATGCAAAGGCATGGAGATGGGAAATGGAATCCATGTATGAGGAACAGCAAGCCCAATCTAGCCAAACTACAGACTAGGGCAAGGAAAATACTGCCTAATGCAGTTGGAAAAGGTAGGTTGGGACCAGATTGAGAAGAGGTTAATAAGGAAGATTAATACTTGGTCTTAAAGACAATAGGGAAACACTGGAATTTATTGATTAGGAAAGTGAAGTCAGAGGAAAATCACTTTAGCAGCTGTGAGAAGGATAGATTAGAATGGCAAGTGACTTGAAGTAGGGAGACCAGTTGAGAAATTACTGACATAATCTAGGTGAAGGGTAGTGAGAGCCTAGTGTTTGTATAAATAGGGAGGAAATAGTTGCAAGTAATGTTATGGAGGGAAATATGACAAGACTTGGGAATTGCTTAGATATGTTGGCTAAGGAGAATGAAATAAAGATAACAATATAGTTGTGAACCTCAGTGCCTGGAAGGATGGGTATACTAGACAAAGCTAGGGGAGTTTGGGAGGGGTAGGTTTGAGGAAAAAGATAATGCTATTTTGAATGTGTTGAATTTGACATACCATCCAGTTAGAAATGTCCAATAGATCATTAGAAGTGCAGGGCTGAAGCTCAGGAGAGAGATTAGGGCTGGATATATAGAAGTGAAGTCATTAACATCAAGATGATAATTAAAACCATGGGAACTGTTGAATTTATGAGAAGGTATAGTAGTAAGTGTTCTCCTTATTTATACTCAGGTAGGGTGCATGATATGGATGACAAGTCAGCAAAGGAGATTGAGAACTCAACCAAGTAGGAGAAGCAAGAGAAAGCAGTTTTACAAAAACCCCAGGCGGAAAGAATGGTCAATAACAGCAAATTATGCAGAGAAGTCAGGAATGATGAGAATTGAGAAAAGATAGATTTAGCCATTAAATTATTGCTAACTTTGAAGCGAGGAAGTGAACCTTGTAGGACAAATGTTGTAAAGCTGAAGCTGGATAGGAGAAAAAACAGTAGACTGCAGTCACAAAAGCCCTAGAAGGAGCCTATAGTATTTTTTTTTCTATTTCACACTGTTTTATTGAAAAACTAGGTAATAAATACTACACATTGTTTTCAAAACTACCCTGCTTTTTTGTGCTTCTAAGTTTTGTTTTTAGCTGGGTACTTTTTTCCTCCCTCCCTCCCTTGCCCTAGAGAAGGCTACCATTAGACATAAATATGTGTATATAAAAATATATGTAAAACCATAATATAGATACTTCTATTTATCAGTTCTTTCTCTGAGGTGGATAGCATCTTTATTCATTGGTCCTCTGTAGTTAGCTTGAGTATATATAATACTCAAAATGACTTAGTTGTTTTTAGAACAATATTGTTGTTACTGTGTACAACATTCTCTTGGTCCTGCTCATTTCACTCTTCATTATTTCATGCAAGTTTTTCCATGTTTTTTTAATCAACCAGCTCATTATTTCTTATAGCACAGTAGTATTCCATCACAATCATATATCATAACTTGTTTAGCCACTCCCCAATTAATGGACATTTCCTCAATTTCCATTTCTTTGCCATGACAAAAGAGCTGCTATAAATATTTTAGAGTGTATAAGCTCTTTTCCTTTTTCCCTAATCACCTTGGGAAACAGAACTAATAGCAGTATTGCTGGGTCAAAAGGTATACAGTTTTATAACTCTTTGGGCATAATTTTATAGTATTAATAGTGTCAAATGCTACAAGAGCATTAGGAATGAGAAAAGAACATTAGATTTAAGTCATTGAGAGTTCACTGGTGACCTTTGAGACAATCATTTCAGTAGAGTGATGAAGTCAGAAGACAGATCATAAACAGCTGAAGAGTCAATGAATAGTGAATTCATGATTATGGACAACCCTTTCAAGGAGTATAGCAGGGAAGGAGATAAATATAAAAGTTTAAGGGGATGCAGTGTTGGTCATGAAGATTTTTGAAGAATAAGAGGGACCTGAGTGTGCCAGCCACACCGTGCACTCTCCTCCTATAAGGAGCAGGCTACCAGGGTCATACTACTTACCAGTCTTCGGAGCCTACCCGGATAAACACACAGAGACGAGCCGATCAGGAGGTGCCAACACTGGAGCTTTATTCAGAGGCCATCACAGCAAGGCCAAGCAGGAAGGCCAGAGCAAGAGAGCAGGAGCAAGAGAGAGAGCTCCAATCTCTACTGTTCCTTAAGTACCTACTTAGCCCCTCCTCCTCAGCCCGCCTACTAGTCATTGATTGTAGGATCGGATACCCGGAAGGGGATGTCTGGGTTTAGCGCACCAAGGGAGAGGAAGTGACGCAGGAGGCTAGGACCGGATACAGGAAGGAGACATCTGGGATTAGTGCATAGACAAAGGGAGAGTACGTGACCCAGGAAGTCAGGCCCAGATACCGGGAGGAGGCGTCTGGGGTCAGTGCTACACAAAGGGAAAGTACGTGACCCAGGAAGTCAGGAAGGAGACGTCTGGGGTTAACATTGCCCCTAGGGAAGAGGACTAGACAAAGGAGCTCGTTCTCTGCCGTCCCACTCCCATGTGGCACAGCCCCCTGCCTCAGGAGCACGTGCTCCAGCTACTTCCTTGTATCCTGTTCCTTCTCCAGCTTATCACAGCTCCACGTGGCACTGCCCACTGCCTCGGGAGCATGAGCTCCGGTTACTTCCTAATATCTTGTTCCTACTCCATCTTGCCACAACCTCCACTTGGCAGTAGCCAACATCAGACAGTCCCTCACACTTGAGCATGTATAAACATTGTTAGGAAGAAAGCAGTAGACTCTGAGGGACAAAAGACGAGAGAGAGGATGTGACCTGTGGGGCAAGCTTCCTAGGATCAGAGTCACAAATGGAGGAATTAGCCTTGGCATGGAAAGCCACCACCTCCTCTGAGACTTCTGAAAAGGAGAGAATGGGTAAAGAGAGAAGTTTTGAAGTGTGGAGGAGGGGGGATGAAGAAGATGATGCTAACTTCAACATCAGTGAAATGAACCTTGCAGGGAGCAAAAGGGACATGGGTCTGGGGGAGCTTTATGGACAATGGGAATCAACACTGAATGAAAGGACTATCGAAGAGTGGGAAGGATCCGGCTCAGATTAGATCATTTGAATTTGTAGTGGAATTAGGCTGACTGTGTGACTTTGGCAAAATAGAACAAATATTGGATTTGGAGTTAGTGGACCTTAAATTCAAATCTTAGTTTTGCTCTTAGAACCTGTATAGGTGAAAGAGAGACAGAAAGAAAGAGAGATTTTGGGCAAGCTGCAGAATGTTTCTGGCCTTCAGATTCCTCATTTGTAAAACGGAGGGAGTTGGACTCTTCAGTGCCTCCTCCCCTTCTTGCCTTCGGTGTTGCTAAGGGCTGGTCCAGTTCCAGCCAGTCCAAGAACTTATTGAGATTAAATGCCAAGAATTAATTATGTGTCCTGTACACACAGGAAAAAAAGGATATACAAAGATAAGAGAGTTTTCTTAATTTTGGATCATGTCAGAAGTGAACATTAGCATTTAAATTGGCCTATCCATTCTCCAATTTACTTAACTCGTAAGGATGGCAAAATATCAAGAAATAAAAATAAGTACAAAGCGAGGAGTTCAAAAATATGTGAATGCAATATTTTCCACAAGAGAATGACTCACAGTTCTAATTAGACAAGAATCTAAGAGCAAACAAAAGTTTCTTTACACTCCCCTCACATGTTTACCTAGCAGTGAAATTAGGTAAATCATCAAGAAACCGAAAGGGCCAACTCAGCACTGAGTCTTACTAACTTCAAACATAAACTCAAATACTAAACTCAAGCATAAACATTGATTAAGTCTTTTACATTTTCTTTCTTCCCAAGCCCTGCAGTGGGAAGGCTAAGGCTCTGAGTAGTCAGCTATACCTTCTGTGGACCCCAACTCATTAGTATGAGTGACTGGTTGAGGGAATAGCCTCAGAGGGGGTGCTACATAGGTTTTTAAAAATTCACAAAACATTTCTATGCATCTTTTTTTTTGATCCTCTCAACAGCCTTGTGATGTAGTTACTATACTCATTATAGATGAGGAAAGTGAGGCTCAGATATGTGCCTGTGATTACCCAGCTTGTAAATGTAGGAGACAGGATTCAAACCCAGGATTTTCCTGATTCTGAGACCAGAATTCTTTCCCCTGTGTCATGCTACCTCTCTTTTAGGTTTTGGACAATCTGAAATATAAAGCTGACCTCATAAAAATTATGGTATTTTAGATTATAGGCTCTGTGACCTGAGAGTACAACAGTTCAAGAAAAATTTATTAAATCCCAGATGTCCCATTTCACTGTCCAGCAGATCTAATAACTAAGGCTGTATTTGTTGAAGCTTCCTCCTTTTTACTATAACATTCATCACCCGGTCACATGACATGGCTATGCAAGGGAGGATATATTTGTACACCCTGGAGCCCTCTTGGACCTACCTCTCCATTGCTTAGTTCTGATTGCAGAACCCAATCTAAGGATGGAGAAGAGGTCTCGAAGCTCTTCCAGGGAGTCTCATAAGCGAAATAGAAATTCTCCACCTAAGAACGAAAGAGGAAAGTCAGAGAAAGGTGATAGAGTCAGTAGCAGCCAAAATGCTGGACAGGAGAAGCAGGATTCTAAGAGGAGGAAAGGAAAGGAGGACAAGGAAGGTGGAACTACCCTAGAAGCAGATAACAGAATCCAGACTTCCACCATAGTGGATGTAGATGATGTCATGGGCTCCTTGGAAGACGAAACTGAAGTGATGGCACTGTTGGAAAGTGAACAACAGGATGAAGGTACTGTATGAAAATGGTGAGAAGTGGAGGAAGGAAAGGGAGAGTTGTATTCCTCCATTTCTCTATAAAGGGATAACAGGTAGTCCTTAGCATTGATAAAGCAGCCACTATGTGCAGATCATTCTTCTAGGCTACCAGAGAGATTCAAAAAATGATCTAGAGACAATTTTCTAGCTCCCTTAAGACTCTTACCATCTAAATGAAAGAAGAGTAAAACTACATAAGTGTAAATTTAAGGGATTTTAAAAAAAACAACCACAGCTAGGAATCAGAGGGAGGGGGCAAGGAACATGGGAAATAGGCATAGGAAAGGTTGAAGCATAGTCTAAGTGACAGGGAAGGCTTTAACATAATACAAAATCATTATGTCCAACTCTTTAAGGCAGAGGTTCTAATTAGCAAAAGATTTATATAATAATAATATATTATATATATAATAAGCAAAAGAGAAGGGAAGTAATGAATTACCAACAACAGGGCTTTTTGTGGTATTAGCATTTTTCAGAAAGTACGCTGCCCTAAGGAGCCAGGAGAGACCTGACTTCAAATATAGCTTTCAAATATAGCTTCAAAGATAGCTTTGATACTTACTTTGTGACTCTAGATAGGCAAGTCAGCTTCACTTGCCTCATCTGTAAATGGATGTAAAAATAGCAGTTACCTGAAAGGTTGTTGTAATGATCAAAAGAGATAATGTAAATTGTTTTAACATGTAACTGGAGAAAAATAAAATACATTAAAAGAAAAAAAGAGATAAAGTGTTTTGCAAACTTCAAAGACTACAAATGTCAGTTATTATTTTTAAAGGGCCATTAGAATTACTTCTTGACAAAACTTTCTAACTCAGAAGGTATTTTTTAAAAATAGACTACATAATAAAAAATAAAAATAGACTACATAATAAAAAACACAATAAGGGAAGCATAGTTATTTAGTAGTGTGAGAGGCAGACTGTAATAGTTGCTGAAGAGTTAGTCTGGAATGAGGAAGACCTGGGTTCAAATCCTTGCCTCTGACATACACGTGCTACATGACCCTGGTCAAGTTCTTAAATCTTTCTGTGTCTCCAAGTAACTTTCTAAAACTATCAGTTCCTAAGCAGTTCCTGGTCAGCATTGGTAGAGGGAGAGAGCTTCCTCAGACTATCATAATAAAACCCCAGGAACAACTCAGAATCTGAGTTGCTTGGGGTGTGTGGCCAGTATGTATTAGAAGCAATACTTGAATACAGCAATACAGAACTGCTTGATTTTGAGACTAGGTCTTTATCCATTATGCTACCTCTCTGGGATCTTGGAGCCTCTAAAAAATAAAAATGAATCCTGATTTCACAAAGGTTGGGGAGCTCAAATTATCTTTAAGGAAATTTTTGAGCTCTGACATTCAGCAATTCCATTTTTATCTCTTCAAAACTTAAAATGACCCATGTTTTCATTAAATAGGGAACTCATGGATTTGAGAGAGAGAGAGAGAGAGAGAGAGTGAGAGAGATTTATCTGATGATAAATCTTCTGACAAAGGGACTCTCTTCATTTCTATAGCTGGTCCTTAGACAATAGGCCATCCCTGAGCCTATACATAAAGCATCTTGTTAAGACTTGTCAGAACCTGTCTTTTGCTGACATAGTTTCATAGCTTCCAAGATCCTGAGAACTCCATGCCAGAATGAGACCTCAAAATAGATATGAGAAATCTGATTCTAGACCAATAGTTCTTAAAGTGTGGTCCTAAGACCTTTGCAGGGGATCTAGAGGTCATTGTTGTTTTCATAATAATACTGACGTTTTCATTTCTGATAAAGTAAATATAGATAGATATAACCCACATAAACAAAAATTCTTTGGGGTCCTCAATCATTTTTAAATGTGTAAAGGGGTCCCGAGACCAAAAAGCTTAAGAAGTGATATTTCTGGACTTTAGTATGTTGAGATAAAACTGGCTCAGAGTTTGGAAAATAACTTTCATGTTCAAATGCTTTTTCCAAAAAATCATGTGTTCTCCAACTTTAGTTTGGTTTCCTCTTGTTTATTTGTTGTTTCTTGTGTTGGGTTTCAGTGAAGTGATCACTTTGGGGTAAGTATAAGGTGTCCCAAAAGTCTTAGAACAGTTTTAAGTTTTAAGGCCACTAAAACATTAGAGGAACCCTAAGTTTCCCTGTAGTAAATGTAGGGAAAGGGGAAGCAAAACTAATGAAACTTCTCAGGGTGAATATGTCCCTTGTTATGATAGTCAAAAAATCCAGCCTAAGAAAAAATGGTGAACTTGATAAAATTTGTCTTCAGCTTGGGATCCAACCATTTGTCTGTTTTCAATGTAACTTTTCCATTTAATCTCACACTAGTCTCTTTAATGTCCTCCATGTTCTAACCAAACTGGAAAATTCTCCATCCTCCATCTTTTGTCCTGCCTTCTCTCAGCTTCTTGGCCTTTCACTCATGCTGCCCCTTGTACCTAGATGTACCACCATGAGCTTTCTCCATCTGTCTTTCTGTCAAAAGGCACCTCCTGCTCTGTGCTTTCCCCTCCCCAACTATGAAAAACCAGTCCCTTCTCACATTTCTCATTGTGTGTTTACATGGAGCTGTCCTTTGTCCTTATGTCCCTCTCTTCTGCAGCATAAGACCATAGAGCCGGAGCTAGGAGAGACCTTCGAGGTTATCTAATCCAACTCTCTTATTTGATAGATGAGGAAGTCCGAGGAAGTCCAAGGAAGTCAAGGGACTCACTGAGAGTCACAAAGATAGTAATAGAAGCAGGATTTGAACCCAAGTCCTCTGACTATGCATACAGCCTCTCTGAAAAGCATAATGTTCATATACATTTTAAAAGCAAAATGACAACCTAGGAAGCTAAATTCAACTTCATTGGAGTTGAATTTATATCTAAATGGCATTATTTGTGTAATATATAAGTATGTATTTATATAATTTGAATTTATATAGCACTTTGCTGTTTTATAGAGTGCTTTCTATGCAATACCCCTGTGTGCATATTATCCCCATTTTATAGATGAGGAAACTGAAGCTCAGAGAAGTCAAGCAATTGGTCCAGAGGTTATGGGTCTTAGTATGGGTAAAGCTGGAATATGAACCCATCTCTTACTGTAATGCCAGTATTCTTTCCATTATATCATGGTATGTTTCTGTGGGAGGTACCTTCAAGATCATCTAGTCAAATCACCTTATTTTATAAAAGGCTTGGGAACACTCTGAGAAACCCTAAATTTCTGAACTTGAACTTCAAGCTCTGTTCTTTATACCACACTGCTTTCCACTAGTGGAATGCACCCTAGAGATCATCAACTCCTGTAATTATTTGGATAAATGTCTCTCCATGCCTCCCCTTTCAGACTATACCCTAAGAGACAGATCCATGTTAACTCAAGTTCTGTCTCTCCAGCACTTTATATTCCTAGCTAGTTTATTTTGTCCCCTGCCTAGTGCCGTTTTCACTGTGAGGTCAGCCCACTAACTGTTAGCCAGCTAGTATTGCAAATCTTTATATGTATTTTCTTTTTCTTTTTCAAAAGGTATAAAATCATCTCATCTAGGAATCTGTGAGTGGCTTCTCATCATCTTATCCCTGCTGTTCATCATGGCAACTTTCCCCCTCTCTATTTGGTTCTGCATAAAGGTGAGACTGCATAAGGACCTGACAAAGTCATTTCTTGATATCTCTCTCTGGGTCACTGACCTTGAGAGTTAGTCACCAACTTCAGTCAATCAACAAGCATTTATTATGTGTGCCAGGCATTCTGCTAGGGACTGGGGATTCAAAGGCAAAAATGAAATAGTCCTTCCCCTCAAGGAGCTTATACTCTGGCAGGGGACAGCCTAAATCTATATGTCTATTAAAAACTTTAAAAATAATAAAAAATAATTTGTATTATCTTGTAAATCAGTAAGACATTAGATTATAACTAGCAGTCTCTCAAGTTATCTTTCACATGAAAATGCTGAGTAACTAAATGAGGGATGAGCAGGCACATTGATCGTCTGACATAAGTGGTAACTGACCCAGTCCAAGAAGAAAATGCTGTATATAGAGGCTTAAACTGTGGAGGCTTCTGCTTTATTTGCCTATATGAATTTGACTTCTGTGTTTTTGCTTCCCACCATGTAACACAGGATTGGCATTTTCATGAGAAAAAACTGAAGGATTTCTTTCTTAGTTCACCGAATCACTCTGTTTTGTGTGTAGTCCCATGTATACTTAACCAAAGATGTCATAACTTATGCAAATATATTGTTACTTGTCAAAGGGAGTAGTCAGGTAGCATCCTTTTTGTTCAGGTCCAGACCCATTATTTGTAGCAAAGTCCTGGTGTGGAAGCCCCTTCTACTGAGGTAAATCAGCGAGTCTTCTGTAATCTTTTAGGATCTTCAAGATTTTCCAGGAGACATTAAGAGGTTAGAACACTGGCCCATTGTCATCTAGTACGCATCAGAGGACTTGAAGCGATATCTCTCTGACTTTAAGGCTGACTCTTCATTCATTCTGCCGAGGTGCCTTCCTGACACACTTAGGTCTTTGAAATAATTTTCAGGTGTATTGCACACGGGGTCTATTACTGCCATTGTGTCCATCCATCCACATGTATGACATTCATGCAGATTGCCTGAAAGCGTAATTCCAAGAACATTTCAAAACCACATGACACAGCTGGTGGGAGTGGTGGCTGAATTCAACTACTTTAGGGTTGTAATAATAAGAGATTTAATATAGCACTAATAATAAAAATGTTGTGATAATAAGATTTTATAAAGTGACTTTATCATAATAAACCCTGCATGATAGGTATTATAGGATCATTCTCCCCTTCCCCCCATTCTACAGAAGAGGAAACTGAGGCCCAAAGAAATTAAGGGATTGGCCCAGAATTACATGGCTGGTAGTGGTAAAGCTGGAATTTGAACAAAAAGCTTTTACTCCAAGACCAAAACTCTTTAAGTAACATCAGAGTGCCTCTCAGTGCAAAGTACCTTAGAGATCATCTAATCCAGTCATTTCATTTTTTAGATGTAGGAAACCCTACATTTGTCAGTTGTTTAGTCATTTTTCAGTAGTGTCTGACTCTTCATGATCCCTTTGGGGTTTTCTTGGCAAAAAAGATTGGGGTGGTTTGACATTTTCTTCTCCAGCTCATTTGACAGATGAGGAAACTGAGGCAGACAAGGTTAAGTGACTTACCCAGGTCACGTAGATAGTAAATGTCTGAGGCTAGATTTGAACTCAGGGAGGGCTCTTCCTTACTCCAGACCCAGTACTTTATCCACTGTGTCACCTAGTGGCTCCTACATTCATCAGAGGTGTCCTTAAACCTTTAAGAGCTTCTAGATTCTAACACTGGCCCATTCAAGTTCAAGAAGGATGGGGAGCAGAGTGGAGTCAATCACATAGAACAGAAGGAGAACCAGCTTGTGAAGTGGATAGACAGGGACCAGGAATTGGAGTCACACAAGTGGTTTTCTACTTCCAGCACAGGCAAGTGAGAGAACAAAGTTGGAGAGCAAAAAGAACTGAATGGATGGAATGAAACAGGGACTAAATAGATGGCTGGGTCATCTTCCAAGAAGCAGACCCATGTAGTCAACAAATAGTGGTGGAAGATTTACTCTGTTCCTGTGTGTGTGCATGGCACTGTTCTAGGGGCCTAGGAAGTGTACAAAGGTGAACAAGACACAGCCGGACCACCTCAGGGAAAGGACTCTCCTTTTGTTGTCATCTCATCTCCACTATCTTGCACTTGGTTAGTAAATGTTTGTTTAATTGAATTGAATTGTCCAAGAAAAGCTTTATATCTGAGTGGCTTTTGACGATCATAAGATCAAAGAATTCAGAGCTGGAAAAGATTTGGTTTATCCCACTAATTCAACTCCCTCATTTTAGAAGACGTGGCTCAGGCCTGAAGGAGTGAAAAAGGTTTGCCCAAGGCCATGAAGATAATAAGTAGGAAAGGCAAGATTTGAACCCAAACTCTATGTCTTCTGTCTAGTGCTCTTCCCGGTGTGCCTTGTTGAAATCTACCAATTTATGGATCCTGAACTACATTTTCCCAACTTATAATTAGTAAAGGTAGATTTGCATTGCTCTCAACTGTAACTATGGATTTGAGAGAAGATTAGACATTGAGAGCAGTTGTACTTCATCAAATAGAAACAATTGAGCTTAGTACCCAGTTAACAATCAATAAATGAGCAAGTATTTGTTAAGCTCCTACTATGTGTCAAGCACTCTGCTAGGGTCTGGGGATACAATGAAATAACCTCTACTCCCAAGGAATTTATTAGTTGAACGAAGGAAAGATCCCTTCTTCCTGTGGCTCCAGCATAAGGGTGCTCTTCCCTGGCCAAATCCCACCATGGCTCCTTCCACCATTCATCTCTTCTAAGGTCTTCTCCCATTCCCACAGCCACTTTACTCCAAGCACAGACTGTGGTGTTTGCTTTAGGCATCAAAATTGCTAGGCACAGCTCTGATCAGGGTCATTTCCCCGGTGAAGATGTAAATTAAGCTCATTTATTGTAGGATACTATGAGTGATAGAACAAGATTTACAATGCACGGTGCCAAAGGGCAGGGTCTGATAGAGGGTGACAAAGGAGATCTAGCTAGTTACCCCCTCTCCCACAAGGGTGCTGATATCAGTTACTGCATCTGCCTAGATAAATGTGTGGATTCCTAGGACAATTCTGTATAGTTTATTCCCTCATATTTTGTGTTCCTTCCATTCAAATGAAAACTCAACTGATTAGAAAAAATGTCAGAACTTCCAGGTTTTGAGCACTCTGCTCACAGCTCTCCACAAGAAGTATGAACTGAAATTCATATAATTAAATTTCCTTTTGAGATAACCTAGAAAGTTAATTGCTCTTTAGAAAAAAATATCACATATTGTATTTAAGTAGGGGGCGGCATATTGTGGTACAGTAGAAACAATACCAGCTCTGGAATCGAAGGTCCTGAGTTAAAATTCCACCTCTGATATTTACTGCCTGTGTAACTTTGGACAAATCATTTCATATCCCTGGGCCTCAGTTTTCTCATCTGTAAAATGGGATCTTGAACTAGCTGGCCTTTGAGGTCTCCTCCAGCTTTAGGTCTAGATCCTTTGATCTTGTTTGTCCTCTGTCCATTTAATAGGTCAGGAGAAACATATAAATCAGCAGAAGTGATGGTCAATCCATTGCAGACCAAAATATTAAAAATCTTATTTATGATTTGCAAAGGTTTTGAATAACTAAGACTTCTTATTTGGAATTTTATCCATGAACAGAATCATATTAAGGCTAAATCAGTTTTCCATCGGTTTCTGAAGACTCTGAAGGTTCTTTGTTATGATATGAACTCTGATACTGGTGCCAGAGACCCAGGTTCCATTCCTATAAGTCATTTAACTTGTCTGAGCCTCAGTTTCATCCTCTGTATAATGGGGCTAATAATAAGCCCACTTGCAGGGTTGTTGTAAGAAAAGAATTCTGCAAACCTCAAAACACTGTATAAATGTGGAAAAGATTTTTCCTCTACGGAAGATTGTTTCTATGACTGTTTTAACCATCAGTATGGATGGAATGATCTCTTTCTTTGATTTAAAACAAGAAATTTTATGTCACCAAGGGTCACATGCAAATTACAAAACCTTTTCAAAAAGGTTTCATTTCGCTTTCCAAGGTGGTCTGAACATCTTAATTTTTCACCTGCAGGTAGTGCGGGAGTATGAGAGAGTCATTATATTCCGTCTGGGACATCTTCTTCCAGGAAGAGCCAGAGGCCCTGGTAAGGAATACTCTTTTTGTTCCAGTCTGTAAAATGGGGATAATAACAGCAACTCTCTCCCAGAGTTGCTTCAAGGATCAATGAGATGTTATACATAAAGCCTTTGTCTCTATTCCCCACCTGCTTTTGTGTTGTTTGTCTCTGTATTTTTTTTTTTAGGCAATTGGGGTTAAGTGACTTGCCCAGGGTCACACAGCTAGTAAGTGTCAAGTGTTTGGTCTGAGGACAGATTTGAATTCAGGTCCTCCTTACTTCAGGGTCGGTGCTGTATCCACTGAGCCACCTAGCTGCCCCTGTCTCTGTATTTTCTGTGCTATTCACCCCTATACCCTCTGTGTATTATTAAAAGTGTGATTACAGCCCCACTTCCTGCTGCCATCATTGTCTTTGCCAGTGAGTATCCAAAGAACCAGGGATGCCTGTCCCATTTCATAATTCCATAAATTAATTAACAGTTCATCTGGGGTTAGGGTTTTATGCTGAGAAAAAATGGACAGGAACAGTGGGATATGGTAGAAAGAGAGCTGTTTTTGGAGATAAGAAATCTTAGATAAATCACCCTTTCTGGGCTTCAGTTTCCTCATCTGTAAATTGATGGGATTTGATTAGATGATCTTTAAGATTCTTTCCAGTTCTAAATCTGTATGATCTTGAGAATGGCATTTAGGCCAGGAACATAGTAATAACATTTCAAGATCAAGAAGTGTCTGACCTGAACTACAGCACAATTAAGGTACAACCTATTTGGATTCTAGCATAAGGATTATCTGCTTTTATTTTTTCCCTTGATAATTAATTTATTTATTTTTAGTTTTCAACATTCACTTCCATGAGATTTTGAGTTTTAAATTTTCTCCTTCTCCCATTCCTTTTCCCCCACCCTCCAAGATGGCATACAATCTGATATAGGCTCTTCTTATACATTTATATTAAGCATATTTTCTCTTTAGTCATGATGTAAAGAACAATTAGAATTAATGGGAGGAACCACGAGAATCAAGCAATACAACAAAACAACAAAGGAAAAGGAGAGGAAATAGTTTGCTTCCATGTGCATTCAGACTCCATAGTTCTTTCTCTGGGTGTGGATAGCAATTTCCACCATGAGTCTTTTGGAGTTGTCTTAGATTCTTGCGTTGCTGTGAAGAGCCAAGTCTATCAAAGTCAGTCATCCCATAATGTGGCTGTTACTGTGTACAATGTTCTCCTGGTTCTGCTCATTTCACTCTGCATCAGTTCATGTAAGTCTTTCCAGGTGTTTTTGAAGTCTGCCTGCTCATCATTTCTTATGGAACAATAGTATTCCATTACATTCATATACCATAACTTATTCAGTCATTCCTCAGTTGATGGGTATCCCCTCAATTTCCAATTCTTTGCCACCGCAAAAAGAGCTGCTATATTTTTATACACGTGGGTCCTTTTCCCATTTTTATGATCTCGTTGGGATACAGACCTAGAAGTGGTATTGCTGGGTCAAAGGATATGCACAATTTTATAGCCCTTTGGGCATAGTTTCCAATTGTTCTCCAAAATGGTTGGATCATTTCACAACTCCATCAACAATGCATTAGTGTTCCAATTTTCCCACATCCTCTCCAACATTTATCACAGTCCTGTTTTGTCATGTTAGACAATCTGATAGGTGTGATGCAGTACCTGAGTCATTTTGATTTGCATTTTTCTAATCAATAGTGATTTAGAACTTTTTAGTTTCTTCCTCTAAAAACTGCCTGTTCATATCCTTTGACCATTTATCAATTGGGGAGTGACTTGTATTCTTATAAATTTGACTCAGTTCTCTAGATATTTTAGAAATGAGGCCTTTATCAGAGACACTGGTTGTAAAAATTCTTTCCCAGTTTTCTGCTTCCCTCCTAACCTTGGATGCATTGGCTTTGTTTGTGCAAAAACTTTTCAATTTAATATAATCAAAATTATCCATTTTGCATTTCATAATGTTCTCTATCTCTTGTTTGGTCATAAATTCTTCCCTTCTCCAGAGATCTGAAAGGTCTTCTAATTTGCTTATAGTATCAGTCTTTATATCTAAATCCTGTACCCATTTTGACTTTATCTTAGCATAGAGTGGAAGTTGTTGGTCTATGCCCGATTTCTGTCATACATTTTTCCAGTTTTCCCAGCAGTTTTTGTTAAATAGTGATTTCTTATCCCAGAAGCTGGAGTCTTTGGATTTATCAAATAGTAGATTAGTATAGTCATTGTTGTGTCTTGCATACCTAACCTATTCCACTGATCCACCAACTCTATTTCTTAGCCAGTACCAAGTAGTTTTGATTATTGCTGTTTTGTAATACAATTTAAGATCTGGTACAGCTAGGCCACCTTCCCTTGCATTTCTTTTCATTAGTTCCCTTGATATTCTAGACTTTTTGTTCTTCCAGATGAACTTTGTTATTGTTTTTTCTAGCTCCATAAAATAATTTTTGGTAGTTTGGTATGGCGCTAAATAATTGAATTAATTTAGGTAGAATTGTCATTTTTATGGGCAACTGATATTTTTCCAATTATTTAAATCTGACTTTGTGTGAAAAGTGTTTTGTAATTGTGTTCATATAGTAGCTGGTTGAATTAACTACTTTTAAAGAGCTTTCCTGGTGTGACTCAAGGAGGGTTAGTGAACAGAGCTCTGGGTAGTCTGGGATACCTTTAAAGCCCTGGCAAACACCTGGTAAGTCTCAATTAAGAAGCACTAATTGAGCAGTCTATAAGTACCTATAAAGTACTTATACACTGTCCCAGGTGTTGGGTTTGCAAAGAATGGCAAAAATAGTCCATGACTTCAAGGAGCATCTATCAAAAGGGGGAAACACTGGGTAAATAGCTAGTCGTACATGACATATATGCAGAGTAGAGAGAGCATGCATATGTTGTATCACGTGCTCTGCATCATGGTTGTTGCTATGGGGACTAATAACCACATAGATGAGAGAGAGAGAACTCCATTAAAGTACCATCCTTTGACCCCAGATAGCACCAAATCCCTTCCACATTTCAAGAAATTCCAGAGGAGACAGTTGCTGTGCACAAAGTTTGTCGTCTATGAGTTCAGACACAGGCATCCAAGAGTCCGTATAGAACAACAGCTGGACAAACAGTCCTGCATTTAGCCAACTTTCATCTTGTATGGAAAAGTGAGGGACGAAAGAGGGCTTCCAGGGTGAACCCTTATGATAGGTGTTCCCCATCACCATCCCCTGTCCCTCCAGCAGAGAGTCTAGAATGATTCACTTTTGTCTTTGTATTTCCAGCAGCTAGCATGGTACCTAACACATAAGATCATGGATTCGGAGCTGGACAGCACCCTAAAAGCCAACCACCTCATCTTACAGTTTAAGAAATTGAGGTGGGGGAGGGGGTAACATACCTGTCTAAGGTCACACAGATAATGCTGGTGGTGGGATTTATACCAAGATCTCTACTACTGCATAGCATGTAGTAGGCGTTTAATAAATGCATGTTGACTGATTGAATAAAGGATTGATTCTTGTCTTAGGTCTTTTCTTCTTTCTGCCCTGCCTGGATACCTACCACAAGGTGGATCTTCGCCTCCAAACCCTAGAGATTCCTTTCCATGAGGTAAGGAAAGTGGCCAATTTTGCATTCTCTGCCTTTTTTTTCATCATCATTTGATATTTAAATCTGGCTGGAAACTTTGAGAAAAAGCAGTTCAAAAACTGCTCCAATTTGCATTCTTTTTGGTTGTTCATCCAACATAAGGGTGGTGTAGTGGACGGGATGCTGGATTAGGAGTCAGATAATCCGGTTGCAGGTCCTACCTCTGGCCCTTACTACTTCCGTGACTATGATTGATGACAACAACTCGTGTTTATAGAGTACTTTAAGGATGGCAAAGTGCTTTCCACACAATTTACTTCATCTCTCTGGGACTCAGATTCCTCATCTGAAAAATTAGGCAATTAGAATGAACTTTTAAGGTCTTGGCAGAGACCCTTGGCCAGAGGGGGTTTGTGGAGATGGAATCAGTAAGATTTGGAAACTGATTCATTCGATGTGAGAGTGAGGGTGAGGGAGAAGGAAGAGTTAAAGTCACCAGGCATTTATTAAGTCCTACTCTGTTGCCCAAGCACCACTAAGCTAAGTATGGAAAGACTTTGGCCACAACAACCTAAGAAACAAAGAAAAATATAAGAGGGTCTGAAGTTCCATGTGACTATTGTTCTCTCCCCGGTGATAATGGTGGCATGGTATAAAATGGTGCTAAGTATATTTATTAATTATCCCGTAGTTTTTAGACCATCCAATTGACATGTGCCAGCCACTGTGCTAATGGATGACGGTACAAATAAAACAAAAACAGCCTGATTGGGGGTGGATGGGTGGAGGCCCAGATAGGCTGTCGGCATGTCCTTCTCAATTAAAATATGATTTCATTTACTCAAACTAAACCAAACCCTAATATGCTCACTTTTTAGAAGCATGTTCTGCATGTAGAATTATTCATAAACATATACCCTCCATTTTGTTCCCCAGCTCTGCCTCACTCTACTCGAGAAAATTTCTTTTCCCTCTCAAAACTCTTTGATCTTCCCTTGGGGATCAATAAACAAAGTTGGTCATTGAAACTGATTTCTGCTTAGGTGGTGACAAAAGATATGCTCATAATGGAGATAGATGCCATCTGCTACTACAGGTTGGAAAATGCTTCTCTACTCCTAAGCAACATTGCCCAAGTGTCCAGAGTTGTCCAGTTGCTGGTACAAATCACCATGAAGCGCCTCCTGGCCCATCGCTCCTTCACTGAGATACTCCTAGAGAGGAAAAGCATTGCCCAAGACATCAAGGTATTTATGTAAGCTGCTAGGGAAGAAAACTGATTTGTTTAGTTTTCCCTTTTGATGAAATCACTGAGAAGCAGTGTAGAGTAGGGGATAGAGAGCTGGCCTTGGAATCAGGAAGACCTGGATTCAGTCGTTGCTTCTGTCACATACTATGTGACCACGGGTAGATGACTCAACCTTTCAGTCCTCCACAAGCTACTGACTAAGGCTAACATTCAGACTAGTTGCATCAGTGAAGAGAATTTCTATACTGAGAGTTCCCCCACATCAGTAAAATTGCAGGTCCAGACCAAAAAAATTAAAAGGGCTGAAACATAAAATAGTAATGTGTAAAATACAATAGTGTTTCATCTGTTATTAGCATTTGGGGCTATCTGTATTAATAATCTGTGTTATCTGATAAACTTTCTCACCAAATTGAATTTGAGTCATTGAATCCATCACAGTCCTTACCTCTGAACTAACTGAGGCCTGAGGTCCTTGTAGCTGACTGCTCTTTACACAGATGTGGATAACTGTAAACAACCCCGTAAGCTAGCCCAGTTGTAGCCAAGACTGTAGATCAGCTCCTCACCCCTGCCTGAAAGCAGTCAGACATCTGCTATGTAAACTAGTACCAGGAATTTTCTGGTGCTGATGATCTGAGTGACCCTCTTCCCAGGCTGGTTGTGTATGTTTATAATGCCAGGAAGCTAGTACAGGACTTGGAACAGGTGGGACAAGGCAAGGTTTAAAAATTGTGCCCACTGCATTGAAAAATTGTCTCCCGTGTGTTAGTGTCCACTGGAGGTTTTGAACCTTTGCTATAACTTACTTAATTAATTGCAAAATTATTACCTAATTGTTATGGAAAGTAGAATTTTTGGAACTAAGAATATGGGCATTTTACAAAGTATAATGTAAAAAATAATGATCCTTGTTGTTCCTTTTGTGCATCTTGTGCTCTAGGGAGTTGCCTATCATCGTCTAAACTACACTTGTTGCCCTGAAAAGCTCTGGTCCTATGGTGTAGCAATAGCTACACTGTGTGAGTGGGTTTTCCTTTGGGTCAGCACCATAGCCACTGATCTAAAGGAACTTGATCTTGTCTTTTGTGTTCCTGAGAGAACAGGAATCTTTGGCAAGATCCCCACTGGTCCCTTGTCTATCTGTGAGTGGAAAGAGGAAGTTGAGGGCCTTGGTGCATGATGGAGAGGCTGCTGGGAGCAGCAGCCGTGGAGGAGAGTTAGCTACAGACTAATCTGAAAAGGTTTGATTAAGAGGGGGAGAAGGATGGTCACAGAACATAGAGGCTTCCTGGACCCCATTGTTCCTGCCCTTAGGCCTGCTTATCATGGACTGACCATCTGAAAGCTAACATATTTATGTGTTCAAAAGGGAAATCAACAAACGTTTACTTAGAACAATTACATGGAAGCAATTATTAACTGAAGACTTTTTTTCTTTTAAGAGCTACTCTTTTTTTGGTCAAGACATTTCGATCTGAAGAGACATTTAGTGAGGGGTGGGCTGGTAAATGTTTAAGTAGGTCTCCTAAAAAATGTACATTGGATACACTTTTAAGCTCAATCCCATTTTTTTTCATGAGTAACTAGAGAATTATAGAGAAAGGCTATCCATCCTCTGGAAGATTCTACCATGATGGAAAGTATAGTCTTGGTGAAAAACTAAATCTGTTGCCCAAGCACCACTAAGCTAAGTATGGAAAGACTTTGGCCACAACAACCTAAGAAACAAAGAAAAATATAAGAGGGTCTGAAGCTCCATGTGACTATTGTTCTCTCCCCGGTGATAATGGTGGCATGGTATAAAATGGTGCTAAGTATATTTATTAATTATCCCGTAGTTTTTAGACCATCCAATTGACATTGACTGAACTGTAAGTATGCTAAATGTCAGGTCTTGGTTTAATGAACTATGACTTGACCTGCCACTGGAAAAGCAAATCATATCAATATTGATATTCTCAAGATAAACAAAATCAGAAGACCAAAGGAAGTTACAACTAAAAAGAGGATGGCTTGCAGGTTTCTCTTTGAAGAGGCAAACAAATACAGTTGTTGGGGTGGATTTCCTTGCATTCTCTGGTTCAGTACCCTGAAGCACTCTGTCCCTGCAGTGCTGATGATTTGCCATAGCTCCTATTGTGTGTGTTTCCCTTTGGAAATTGTAATTTCATTTGTAAAACATTTATAGAGGAGGATGGAAGAAATTTATGAGCAGTAGTGCCTCGTAAAATAGGGAAAAAAAAGTAGAAACAAAGAGTTTACAGAAACTTAGTATTTAAATGAGATAAATATTTGCAAAAGTGCTTAGCACAATGCCTAGCACTTAGTAGGTGCTATATAAATGCTTATTCACAAACAAAAATGGCAAGACACCAAACAGATAGAAAATGAAACAAATTTGCCTTTCTTTCTACAATGCTTTATTTTCAAAAGTACTAGACCTAGAGTCAGAGGACCTAAAATTAAATCCCTAGTCTGTTATTTATTGTCCATGTTACCTTAGGCAAGTTATTTAATCTTTCTGGGCCTCAGTTTCCTTATTTCTAAAAGGAAGAGATTGAACTAGGTAGCATCCTTTGCAACCCTACATGTCTGAGACTGTGATGATCCTAAGTCATGTAACCCCTCTGTGCCTTAGTTTCTTTATATGTAAAATAAGGGGGTTGGATTAAGAGACCTCTAAGGCCCCTTCCAGCACTGGATCTACAATTTAACTACTCTTAAGACATCAGAATTTTTAAAGCTAGAAGAGAGCTCAGGTATCACCTAGTTTAACCCTATTATTTATAGATAAGAAAACAGATCTGGGAAGGGAACATGAGTTTCCCAAGGGGACATGACTAGTTAGGAAGGGCTAGAACCTAAATGGAAAAAGGAAAGATGAAAATGAATAAGGAGAAAGGGTGTTAGAAGGTGGAGAAAAAAAGAAAAAGAAATGATAGAAGAAATATAGGAATGAAGAGATGCAGGGAATAAAAAAGAAGCTGAGTTTGCAAAGTGTTGATAAGCATTTATCAATTGATTGATTGAATACAGAGAAAGTAGGGAGAGCAAAGGTGGGGAAGAGGACATGAATAGATTAGGAAATGGGACTCTGAGGAATCAATCTAGCTACCACGGTACTGGCACATAGTTAGTGCTGGATATATGCTTCATAAATAAAAGGAATACAAAATCATGAGACATTATGACATTATCAAATTCCAAAGGTGGTACTCACTTGGAGCTAGTAACAGGAATCCTTTCTGAAAATTTAGCCAATAAAATCTGGAATGTAGATGCCAAAAGGGGGTCAGAGAAAAAGGTGATGGCCCAGGTCCACATGCATGAAAATCTTTTCTGTTCTTCATGGCACACAGGACCAGTGTCCAATTCATCAGGCAGAAGAAACTCAGTCATTTTTATATCCATTGCAAGAGCTGTAAGACCAACCAACCAACAACCCTATCCATAGTGCCAATTATAGGAAAAACTAAGTGGGAAAGAGGTAAAGATGATTGATAAAAACTGAAGCCTTCTTTAGTGCTCCTTCAAGGGGAAAAGATGCTGATTTCTCTGGCAACACAATCAAGTAAATGATAGTATTGAATGAACAAGTAAGCATTCTACTCTCCTATCTTTGACTGACTTCCAATTTTCTTTTAAGGGAAAGATACTTTTTTTTCCTGGAATATCCAAAAGGACATCTAGTACATAAGTGGACTAGATGACCTTGGAAGGTCCTTTTCATGTTTGAAATTCTGCTCCTCTGTGGTAGCTCCAGGAAGGAAGTTTTTGTTGACCTTAGACTCTGCTCTCCACAGGTGGCTTTGGATGCAATCACATGTCGCTGGGGAATCAAAGTGGAGAGAACAGAAATGTAGGTAGGAAATGAACCAAAAAGAAAAACAACAAATAAAATCAACATCAATAGTGTTAACACTATTGTCAAATCCAGTGACCTCTTCTCTGTCCTCATTCTCTTTCACCTTTCTGTCATACTTGACACTATTTACCACCTTCCTCCTCCCGTCTTTATTTTTGGTAAGGGGGAGACGTACTAATTTATTGGTATAGGAATCTCTGGGTAAGAAAACTCTCTCCAACAATCCAGATCAGCAGTCATTCTACAACTCATAGCCTTGGAGAGTTAAGGAAGAACATGGCAGGGTTGGAACTTGAATCTAGATCTTCCCAATTGTATCTCAATCCACTCTACCACATTGCCTCTCTTCCTACTCCTTCTTAATAATGTCTTCTACTTTGGCTTCCATGACACTGTTCTCCTCCGAGTAGCCTACCTCTTGAACATGCCTTCCCATTCTCCCTAACGGTTCCTCTTTGTCCTCCCACTTCCCAAGTATGGTTGTTCACCAAGAGTCTGTCCTGGCACCTTATCTCTTCTTTCTCCTTTGGCAACCTCATCCATTCCCATGGATTCAATGATCTCTTTGCAGATGACTCCCAGTGTCATTTCCAGCCCTGACCTCTACTCTGTATTTCTAGTTATCTGTTGCATGTCCTCTGAGCACCTCAAAGAAAAATCACCAACTTCCCTCTAAGATTTCCCTCTCTTCCAAACCTTGTTATTTTTGTTGATGACACCAGTCACCCTGGTTGGAAACACTGGAATCACCTTGAACTCTTTTGTCTTCTTTAGCTCCCACATGTACTCAGCATCTCTCCTATCTTTCTCTTCCCCGCTCACACTGCCATACTCTTCTAGATCATCATCCCCCATCACCCAGACCATTTTAACAGCTTTCTAGCTGGTCCCTCCACTTCTACTCTCTTCTCACCTGCAGTGTGAGTGCCAAAGAGAAGCGGCATGACAGCAGGCAGGGGGCAAGACTCAAGTCAGGATGATCTGGGTTCAGCTCATGAATCTGACGTTTACTGCCTAGGGGACAATAGGATTGTCACTGAATCCCTCTATACTGCAGTTTCTTCATCTGTGAAATAGGGAGAATAGTGCTGCAATGCCTAATTTATAAGTTTGTTGTGACAAACGATCCATGTTTTCATTTTAAATAAAGTATTTCAGTGTACATAAAGTTTGGCAAACTTTAAAGTGATACACACACATCAGTTAAATAAAAAACTAAAATTTTTCACTGTTTAACTGACCTCATTTCTCTGTTTCTCAGAGGATATATATACCTCTCCCTATGATTGAACTCCCCCATTTCCTACTGTTAAGCTACCTTAATGAGGCTCAGTTGCCTCATTCTTCTCTCTATCTGATGACACAGAAGTGATTCAGACTTTTGGAGACTCACACCAATGACAACATGGACCATTTCCTCGCAGTAGAGTGTAAGCTCGGTGGCCATAGCGACTGTTTTTGTTCTTGTCCATCTGTCCCTAGGAGCTGGACGCTGATTTGTGTTTTCATCAATGTGCCTTTTCCCTCCAGGGACCTCACAGCCACTCCAGGACTTAAGAGATAGGTTTCTGAATTGCTATAACCAAATACAAGGTTTCTGAATTGCTATAACCAAATACACACACAAGCACACATATATATGTCTATGTGTACTTAGACACGTATACACAAACATGCCTTACTTGTGGTCAGGCTTCTGGTGATGAGCCTCTCTGTGCTTAAGTAGGTTGGCTTGGGATGACAATCCATTTCTGGGCCTGTCCAGGTTGGTAGAATCTAGTTGGCAGGGAAGGCTATCTGCTGAAAAAAATCTTTGAAAAGTTTAGGCCACTCCACACCACAGGGAAGCATCAGGGTTGTGCTTCAGCAGATGAAGGAATCGTTTTCTAACATTTATTACGGTAATTTGTGTACATGTCTCACCACCGAAGATATTGTGGCTTAGCGAAAAGAGTGATGGGGTTAGACTCAGGAGACTTAGTTTTTTTAAATAAATTTTTATTTATACTTTTTGTTTTCACATCATCTAGACTTCTCCCTATACCTCTTCACCATCCCCTCCCAGAGAGCTGTCCCTTAAAACAAAGAATTTTTTTTAAAAAGCAGAAAAAATAAGGAAAATCAATCAACACACCAAAAAAAATTAGCATTACATGTAATGTTCCATGCCAGAGGAGGGAAATATCTTCTCACGTCTCTTGGGGCCAAGCTTGTTCTTTGTAACTTTGTAACACTTGTTTTCAATTGTTGTAGAGTTTTTGTTCTCTGTATTTGCATTGTTTTAGTCATTGTGTATATAGATGGTCGGGGAGAGGGTCTGCTTATTTCACTTTGCAGGAGTTCATCTCAATCTTTCCATGTTTCTCTGTATTCACTGAAATTTAGGTTTTCTATCTTAGACAGCTACTTATTAACTCTGTAACAATGGGCAATTTTCTTTACCTCTCCTAGCCTCAGTTTCTTTTTCTGTGAAACGGGGATCCCAACATTTGCACTATCTGCTTTATGAGTTTGTTGTGAAGGAAACCATTTACAAGGTATCAAGCCTTGTTATCATCACCATAAATGGTTTAGATTTCAGATTTAGAATTTAGGTTACAACACAAAATTTCTCTTAATTCCTCATTCAGGAAGATTAAATTCAAGATAATTTGTCTGCCTCCCAGAAGTGGTGTAAGGAAAGCACATTGTCAACTATCAAATATTCTGGGTGTGAACTATTATAATCCCCTCATAACAGTGTAACAATAGAACAATAATCATATCAGCAACAATGTACAAAACAATTAAAGCCAATATTATAAGTAAGCAACAACAACAAAATGCTAATCTCAAGGTTATTACACCAGCCCATATTCTATTAAAATAATGTTAAAAAGAAGGGTGAGACATTGACTTTGCAATCCCAGGACTTGGATTCAAATCCTGCCTTTGACACTACGTGTGTGGTCTTGGACAAGTGACTTTGTTTCTCTGGGCCTCAGTTTCTTCATCTGAGAAATGAAGACGTTGGCCTAGATGGCCAGTGAGGTCCCTTCAGGTCCTGGATCTAGGATTCTGTGATTACCTTTGTTTCAGGGAGTTCAGGATTAATAAAAAGCCTTGTAATAAAATACAAAGCATTCAGGCAAAAGTCTCCAGGCATAAAGCTGCCATTTTAAAATGAACTTCAATAAAGCCAAGCCATTGGCAATGAACTAAACTGGGAATAATAATGTGCCGTCCCAGTTTTCCAAAATTGAAAGGAAAAAAAAAGCCAGTGGTAATGAAGACCTGTACTAAGCAGTAGCAGTGAGACCAGAGGGTTGACTATTTTTCTGTCATAGATCCTTCCTAGAGCTACTCTTTGCAGTTCTGCATCAAAAAAAAAAAAAAAGAAAAAAAAGAAAAAAGTTACCCAGAAGTCCCTGCCCTCCTGCTTCAAGGCCACTGTTTCTTGTTCTTTTGCAGTAAAGATGTGCGACTGCCCACAGGCCTCCAGCAGTCACTGGCTGTGGAAGCAGAGGCTCGAAGACAGGCCAAAGTGAGGGTAAGCCAATACTGAGCGCTCATGCCCTTTGCTTCTGCCTCCACACCCACTCCCAGGTTCTTTCAGCCAGGGCATAATATAGACTCGGACACCTAGGACAGTCTCACCACCGGTCTAAGAATTCCCTGCTTGATAGAGTCAGGACGAGAGATGTGAGAGAGGTCACAGTGACTGACTCCCTGGCAAATCTTGAAAATGAGAATGAAGGAATGTCTGCTTACGTGGTGCCTGCTCTGTCCCCTAGATGATTGCTGCTGAAGGGGAGAAGGCTGCCTCGGAATCCCTGAGGATGGCGGCTGAGATACTATCGGGCAGCCCAGCAGCTGTCCAACTTCGCTATCTTCACACCCTTCAATCTTTGTCCACAGAGAAGCCATCCAGTGTCATCTTACCTTTGCCCTTTGATCTCACAAGTCTCTTACCTCCTGCTGGCAACAGAATGCAAGGAAGCCTCCCCTTACCCAATCCTCCCAGGCAGGTAGAAACGCGGGATCCCTCAAAGAAAGATTCTCCCATGTTGTAAGACCCCAAAAGGATATAATTAAGAGGTCCTGTAGCACCGGAGGATGCAAAATTTAGTCATTTGTTATTTAGCGCTCTTGTTGATTGCATCTATTTTGGTCACCATATAGAATGTCAATGGAATGAAAACAAAGGCACCCTCTGGGGTGAGAAAACCTATGTCATCCCTACATCAGTGAGAAGGCATCTTTCTGTTGTGATTCACAGCTTTTCAAAAAAAAAAAATCTTACAGGAGCCACTTACTTAGAGCAAGCTTTGGGAAGGAAATTTTAATCCTTCCTGAGGAAATATTCATCTGAAAATAACTTTAAGCCAATGGATTTTCCCAATTGTGTCACTTAATTAAAAATTTCATGGCTAAACCCTTATACTTTATAACATTAAAAAAGAGACATGCATTTCTTCTGATTGACTACAAAATTTATGCCTTCTTAAAGAACATGGAGACAATTCTTTATTGAGACTAATGTATAATAACATATATATAAGAGAGAGAAAGAGAGACATAGTGATGTCCTGGATAGAGAACTAGAATCACAAAGACCGTAGTTCCAATTTGATCTCTGCCATATACTGACCATGTGACCCTGTATAAGTAACTTAGCCTCTTAGGATGATAGGCAGCTGTCTACACTATCATATCACTAGCTAGCATTTAAATATCACTTTAAGATTTGTAAAGTGATTATAAATGTCATCTCATTTGATCTTTATAACAATTCTGTGAGTTAAGTGCTATTATTATGTCCATTGTACAGATGAGGAAACTGAGGTTCAGAGAGGCTTAGCAGGATATTTAATCTTCACTTAGAAAAAAAAAGCAGAATAATGTGCCACAGTTGATATAGATACCTGGCCCTGGAGTCAGGATAGATCTCGATTCCACTACAACCCCAGATATTTACTAGCTGAATGACCCTGGGCAAGTCACTTGACGTCTGTCTTAATGTTTTCTTCTCTGTAAAATGGAGATAATAATAGCACCTATCTCATAGGGTTGTTGTGAGAGTAAAGTGAAATAATATGTGTAATGTGCTTTGTAAACTTGAAAGCACTAAATTCTCTTACTAATAATCCTAATTATGTCAAAAGATGTAAAAATAATCAATATCATTATGAGGCTTCTCTTCGTACCTTTTTGGTACAGTACTTAGTACTATTTCTTTAAAAGAAAAAAATTATATGATTCACAGTTTAGCAAAAATGTTCAATTTTGTACTGTTGGCCCCTGATTAAATGTATTTCTAAAACTTGTCTCTAGAACAAATAATGTAACTTCGATGTTTCTATTCTCTTCTGTTATAAAATCAGAGATGCTTAGCAAAGGGGAAAAATGGTCCCAAGGCAAAATAAAACCACACTCTGGAAGATAGCAAAGTTTTAAAGCTATTTCAAGAAAAATCAATAATATGATAAAAACCCTACTAGTAAGACTCAAAATAAGTTACAAAGTAAACATTGGCAGCTTAAATACAGCAGGTTGAAAGGCCTGCTGGGTATGGAGGCAATGCAGGGAACAATAATGATTTGATTAAGATGATCTGAAACTTGAAAGCCCCTCCCCCTCTCAATACTTCACATATTGCATCTAATGCAGTTGCCTGGTGTTGAGGTGTGTTTCTGAGTCCCTTGGCCTGAACTCAGGACTACAGTGCAGTTACGTTGTTGTTGAAATTGGTTGTCTTGGGCTGGCTTGGGAACCTAACCAGTCTTATGACATCATTTCTATAGGGAAATGTATTCTGACATATTTACAACCATCATGTGATGAGGAGTCTTTGTATGTCATTTAGCAGTACAGTCATTTTTTTTAGCCCAAACTTGCATCTCTCCAAGGACATTAGCTAAGAAAACTCCAGGTCACTAGCAAATTCCATAAACCCAAGTTGTGAGGTGATGTTTGCCATACTTACTGATTTAAGTCTTCAACAGTGAAACAAATATATTGGATTGCTGGAGAGGGATAGAGAAGAATATCTATCATCTTATTTTGACAGAACTTTTACAAATAGATTGGTAGCATAGAGCAAGAAAAGGGAGAATAAAGCAAAGGTTGGAAATGCTAGCTCTCTCCTGGCTCATACATTGGTCTGCACTGGTTACCTTGCCTCCATGGGGGTGTTCATCTCCCCTTTTTTACCTCCCTTGTATACATTGCCTTCCTCCACTAAAATGTAATCTCTTTGGAAGTAGGGACCATTTCAGCATTTAGTTTGGTCCATAGTGTTTCATAAATGCTTTTTCTAATCTAATCTAGATTGAAATTTTCAGTCATGTGGACCAGAGAGAATGATGAATATTCTTCTCTATGTACAATTCACATTACTGACTAGGTGAACTTTTAGCACCATCATTTAAGTTGGAACAATGGAAAATAGGTTAGGAGCCGGAGAGCAAAGATCTGGTGGAGTCAAAGGACCTCAGAGGTAATAGGGTAGAATTCTTATCTGAACAGGAGAACTTTCTATGATACCCCCAGGAGATGATCGTCCAACTTCTGCTTGAAGATTTCTAGGGATGGCAGAGCTCATCAGTGATGAGAAATCTCATGGGACACCTCTAGATTTTTCTTCATATTGAGCATTTCTGGAATGCCCTATTTCTGACCTCTGTGTCAAAGTAATACAAAATTAACCCCTCTTCTACATGGCAACCAATCGAATACTTGAAGACAGTTTTCATGTCTTTATTCCTTTTCCCAGCCCCCCAGGTCTTCTTTCTAGGCTAACCATCTTTAGTTTCTCAAATTGACACCCAGGACTAAACAGGACAGAGTACAGGGAGACTATTGTCTCCTCTGTATGCAGCTTAAGATCTCATCCCACGTCACTTCTTGGAGGAGTTTAAAGTCACAGACCTCTACCAGGAGATAAAAGAAGGAATCAGCCAACTTTTGCACAGGTCTTGTTTAATTCGGGCTCTCCTTATACACCAAAGTATTGCACTAATTAATTGCAATAATCACTGTGACTTCAAAAAAAAAAAACATTCAAGCTGGCTTCCCTGGAAGCAACGTCAATGGAAGTGCTTGCCTTGAATTGTATCTTCAGCTCTATGGCTCTGGAATGGAGTTTATTCAATGAATGTAATAACTGGGAATGAGAGCGAATGAAACATCTTTGTAGAAGTTACTTATCACTAGTGTTTGGATTTGGAGTATGATTTGGCAGATTTACCGTGAGCCTGGTGGCCCTTGCCTTTACTCTCTGAATCATCCTTACGCTCTGTGGGGAGGGGAAAAACATAATGTTTCAAACATGATAATAATACTAACTACTCTGTTATATAGTACATAAAATAACAACTCATTCTCAAAGAGCTAGTCCCTACTAAGGTGACAGCCCCATAACCTTCCCAGAAACATTTGCAAAGAGGAATCCTGATAACGAACGAGTGAGATATTATTTAGGAATAATGAATTTCTAATCGGGGAAACTTCAGGCAGTGTAATGAAATGAAGTGACAGATGTCAGGCAGGGTCGGAAAAATATTTGAGGGCATCTGAGCTGCTTCAGAAGAGGGTTGCTGTGCTTGGAAATCTGTTCCCTGACTTCAGCTCCTTTCGGCTGTCCCCTTCTGTCTCAGATTCATCTCTCCTTCCAGTTTGAATTGGTAGATTTTCTTTTAATCTGTCTATTGAAATTGTCAGATAGAAACTTCTGCTTTTACTTTATGACAGAGCTCACAATAGTGAGGGCTCAAGCTGGAGTAGAAGATAGATAGAAGAAGGGGTCATTTACTTGTATAATTAGCTTGTAATAGCCTAAATCTGAGTTTTAAACCAATCCTTGAAGAATAGCGCAAGACTGAGCAAAAGCAAATCCCATTACTCTAAGTAGAGAAATCTTTCCAGATTGAGCAATGGATCTTTTATAAAGTAAAAGCTGTGTTTTTCACTAAATCTGGGGATGGCCCCATTTAGACTATTCTCAGTTGGTACTGGATGACCTGTAACGTGAAGCAAAGATTAGACATATTCTATTTGACCCCAGGGAGCAGAACTAGGTGCCAGAGTTGGAAACTGCAAAGAAACAATTTGTAATTGCAATTAGCTATTGAAGGAAGGAGAAGGCTCCCTAGCAGAGGAAGACAGGGAGTCTTCAAGCAAAGGCTGGATGCCCACTTCTTGGGCTGAGAGGCCTTCAAGCCAGTAGGACCTTGTTTCAAGTTCTGCCTCTGACACACAGGGCTGTGTGACCGTGGGGAAATGACTTAACCTCTCAATGTTTTCTGCATTCTCTAATAGTAAAAGGTGCTAGCCTGCTTTAGCGGTGGGAGTTTCCTCACCTGGGAGATCTTTCTACTAATGACTTCACAAATCCAGCCCCAGAACCTCCTGTATGGTTGCTGTATGGCTTGATCTCTGAGATGTTGTGATTTTGTAATCTCAACAAAATGGGCAAACTTTCTTGATGCCTGACTTTTAAACAGGATTTCCAAGGCATTTGTTCTGACTTCCTAATACATACTACCAATACATAATATGGCAGAGTAGAAAGAGCTCAAGATTGTAGTCCTAATGTGACTAGATATGAGTAACCTCGGACAATATTTCCTTAGCTTTTCTGGGACCTCTGTTTCCTAAATTGCCAAATGATAGGATTGGCCTCCGGGAGTTCTATAGTTCCTTTTAGTTCTAAAATTCTGTGATTCTAAGTACAGACCAGGAAAGTGTCCTGAATGGTATTTAGCTTTTCTAAGACATTTATGGGTTGTTCTAAGCTTAGAACATGACCATCACCTTTGCTTCCAGAGGGTTCTGCCTTTTTGTCATCATCCTCATCCTCGTCCTCATCTTTGCTTAGTCCCCTAGTATAGGCAAGCCTTAAACGTTCCTGGGCTTTCTCCAGCTCTCTCTCTAGATCATGGTTTTTCATAAGTGCTTCATTCAGCCTCTCATTTGTTTCTTCATATTTCTCTTCTGCGAGCTGGACACGAACTTCCGTATTCCTGCCATAAGCAAGAGCAGGGATGGGGAGGGCAGGCAGGAAGACACTGAGATAGATATGTAGGGTTTAAAAGTCTCTTTGGTACAAGAACTTGTCAGTAGAAAGAAAGAATTTGTCAGGGTTATTTGTCTATGTGCTTCAAGGTTTCTAAATGGAATCTCACAGTAAGGATGTTTAGAATTCTAGTCGTCATAGAATAGAAAGGAGAAGATACAACTTTCAGTAACCTTTCATTAGAAATAGGGATGGAACCTGTGGTTTCATTCAAATTCCCAACTGAATTTTTGGGCATCAATTCAAATTCCCTCTACCAATGAAAGTCAGCACATTATCTCAAACATATTCTTAGAGAATTATACAGAATCCTGAGAATTTACATGAATTTCCTATCATCTCATAGCCAGTATGTGTCAGAGTCAGGACTTGAACTCAGGTCTTCCTGACTTTGAGGTTGGCTGTCCATCCACTATGCCACGTTGCCTCTCATTAACCCTTCACTAAAAATTCCTACCACTTCCACTCTTCTAAGTACCACCTCCACTAAGAGTTGGATTTATGGCTTCTTGTAATTCTTGTAATCCCTAATCCAAATCAAGTAACTTCCTCTTCCAAATTTACTTCCAAATTTTCATCTAAAAATAACCTCTTTTAGAGATGCCCTTCAAATTTGTCAAAAAGTATTTATTGCATGCCTACTAGACAGGGAGACAGGGAATATAGACTCTATATCATCTAAAATTTGTGCCTCCCCCAATGCTCTGCACATAATTGGTGTATAATAAATATTGGTTGAATTGAGTGATTTGATTTTGTTCTTCCTCCTTAAGTTCCACAGATTCTAGCAAACAATTTGTTTCCCAATAATTCTTATAATTTGTCTCTGAATTGGCCACAGGTCACTTTACTGGGTCCTTGGTCCTACCACGGATGCCAATTTAACCTCATTCATCCCTCGTAGGAGCAAAGGAGGTTTAAATAGGCCGGCATTTGGTAGCAATGGGGCTGCAGAGGCATGGGCAATCTCCTCCCCTTGTTACTGCAGCTGTGCCAAGGACCAGCCCCAAAGTGGGCAAACTGAAGCTATCCTCAATACTTTTCCATTGAATGAAAACAGAGGAATGCTTCAAGGTCACAAAAGAAGCCTCTAATTCAATTCCTTTCAACTTATACACTGTCTATAGCTTTCAGTCTTTGCTGTATGAAAACATTCCCAGACAGAAGTATGACTATCTTTGCTCTTTTCCCACGGTGGTTCCCGATACTTACAGGAGTTTCTCTTTCAAATGTTCAATTACTGCCAGGGATTCAAGTCTTTCCTTTTCATGGGAGGCGAATTTAGCAAGGGTATTCACTTCTTCCTGACAGAGGAGATGGCAGATATGAACAAGTGAAGGGTCTTGACAAGGAAAGCATCAGTTGACTGAGAAGCTCTAGGACAGTTATATTCATAACCTGGTATCCAGTTTTAGCTGGCGGGGATGAGCAACAGAGCACAGCTGCTGATTTGCCGAAGTATCTATTCTATCCAAACGCCAAATCACTCAAGTTTGGGATGATACCAGAGCTGAGCTGGATATGAGAACAGGATAATAAAGAAGAGTGGGATGAAGGGAAGAAAAGGCAAGAAATGAGGGGTTTTCTTTAACAGAATAGTTTGCACAGTATTGAAAATCGCAGAATCTTAGTGCTAGAAAAGACTTTTCCCCAATCAGCTGATTAATGTTTCAGATAAAAACAAATTTTGAAAAGAATATTGGAAATGGGTAGAAAGGGAAAAGAAAAGGAGTTAAGACCCTATATTTGATAAAAAGAGGGAAGCCCAAAGTTAAGGACACAATTAATAGCATTAAAAATAGTGGGGGAAATTTGCTGTTCAGTAGAGTCAGGAAACCTGGTTTTCCATTCTGGCTCTACCACTTGCTAGTTTTGTGACCATGGCAGCTAGGTGGCACCCTAGGCTCATAAAGCTCTGGGCCTGGAGTCAGGAGGACTTGAGGTCAAATCCAGCCTTAGACACTTACTTAGCTGTATGATCCTGGGCAAGTCACTTAACCTCTGTCTGCCTCAGTTTCCTCAACTATAGAATAATGGCACCTACATGCCAAGATGATTGTAAGGATCAAACGAGATAATCTTTGTAAAGCACTAAACACAGTGCACATAGCAGGTACTTTTTAAATACTTGCTCCCTTCCCCATGTGACAAGTCACTTTACCTACGAGGACAGACCCCATGGTATAGTAGAATAAATATTATATTTAGCATCTTACCAGCTGTGTGACTGTTACCAAACTTAGTTTGGAAACTAAGATGTGTTTTTATTATTGTTTGCAATCATCCCCAAGATAAAGAGAATAATATTAAATACTTCAGTGATAATACATACCCCAAATAACAACCCAGTGGAGACCACTCCATTATCACTTGCAAGACAAGGAGAATGGAGTATGTCCCTAGCTCCCAGGCTACCCCTTTGCAAGTTTCCCTTGAAAATTGTTTGTCTGCAAAATGGGAATAAATAACAATACCTTGTTCCCAGGGTTGTTGTGAGGATAAAATGAGACAATATTTGTAACATGCTTTGTAAGCCTTAAAGTTCTAGGTAAATGTTAGCTATTATTTTCATACCACCCTATCTGCTCCCTCGGCGATGTGGGTGACTGGTCTGCAAGTCACTCTCCCAACTTTCTCAGTGACTTTAGCACCTGACTCAGTCTTCTTCCTAACTTCATTCTTACTATCATCAGCCAATAAAAACTATTTATCAACATGCATTTAGTAAGTGTGTACTATGTGCCAGGCACAATAGTAAGTAATGGAGAGAAAAATACAAGCAAGCTACCCCAGCTCTCAAAGAGCTTACATTCTAACGTATCCCCAGAATTTAACACAATGTCTGGCACGTGGTAGGCATGTAATAAATGCTTATTGACTGACTGACAGACTGACTAATAGGGGAAGATAATAAGAAAAGAAAAGCTTGAACGGGGTTTGTATAGTGCCTTGGTTTGATGCCCAAGGAAAATGAGAATTACTCCTTAGTTCTAAGCCTCCTACTCCTTCACCATTCGTTATTCATTCATATATTCAATTCTTTAATAAAATTTACTGTGTGCCTACTTTACACAAAGCAATGCCCATTCACTTAGATGGTAACAAGTATAGACTGAGTAGTGCTTATGTCCAAAAGGTCCCACAAATTCTAGAATTATGAATTTTGTCAGTTAGGACTTTTACTGTTTTGTGCTGGTAAGGACATCTAAATTACACCATATAATTTTAATCACCAGGCATTGTTGCTATTTTCCTAATCTTATTCCCAATAAGAATTTGGCCCTGGGAAGTCCCACATCTACTGTGGCAGTCATGTTCTCCACCTGAATCCAGAGGGGAGCTCTGAGGAAATACCAGATTCTCTGTGGTTCACTGAGAATGGTTGACTTTCTGTCTTCCAGCATCCCCTCTCTCTGAGTGGTCATTCCTGAATCAGTCGAAGGGGTGTGGTTGGTGTGGATTTCTATAATTAGGATGACTCTGAGCCCCTGCCATACTAGGAAACACCACCTCTTCTCTGCATATGCTGTATTAAACTGAGCCCGAGACATGAAAGCATACTAGAATTAATAGCATCTGCCTTACAATCCATAAGACAAACATGAATACAGTACATGATGTTTTGACTCAAGAGGCAAAAAAATCAACAAAAATAATAAAATCAGAAATGCATTTCAACAGCTTCTGTACTCCTGAACATACAGAGTAGCTGGTCCTAGATTTCCTACAACTTATCTAGCATACTCCAAATTGAGGGGTTTTAGGAAAGGTTGCACCCAGGTATTTTTAACAACATAGGTTGCTCTCTCTCTCTAGAGCAGGCAAAGGGGTTCATGCAATAACATAGTATTTCCAAATGTTGATCCACCCATGGCCTCCATGAGGGTCAGGTCATGATCAGGTTTAAGGGGGAAGAAGGATGGAGGGGAGCACAGGTACCGATTCCCAATGCCAGAATTTTTCTGTCTACAGTCAACCTCTAGTTCTGTTTCAAACTTATTGGTTTGTTGTCTGGGATGTGCAGGACTCTGATTGCTCCTCCTGGTTTATTCATTGTTGGTGGAGTGCTGGATATAGTGAAGGACAGGCCAACTTCACAGTGAGACTTTATTTATCTATTCCGTTCACCATCTGGCCTTCTTTGTTCCTCTGTGTTTTTGAACTCCCCTGTCTACAGATCCACCCTTAAAGATAGTACCATGTCATCTCTACCCCAACTACCTCGTGTCTTTTCATCTCAGCTTTATGAGTGTGGTTCACAGATCATCAGGTAGGGAGGGATATATAATCCCTGTTATATAACTGACTGTTAATATTGGATAGAATCAACTAAACTCATGTCTTCTCCCTCTGTATCTAGAGATTGGAAGGATACATTAATGCCTGTTGACCCTGAGAAGTCGGTGATGGAAAAAAACAAAGAGAGAAATACCAAGAACTAGATTTCACACAACCTAGTAACTAAGGAATGAAGCTCAGATTTAAAGATGAAAAGTCTAAACCAATTAAGTGAGGGTGACTCCTAAGTTTGGGAAGGAAGAAAATGTCATAGGGGCGCTTTGAAGAGAAGAAAAGATTAAATAAGATAACATGTAAAGTGCTTTATAAATGCTGGTGAGGAGTAGTAGTTGTAGTAGTTAGTAGTACTAGCAGTAAAACACATCATATAAGGCCCTAGAACTTTGAAAGGGGCTCAAAATTTTAATAAGAATAGCTAGCTTTTATATAGTATTTATTAAGTGCCAGGCACTGTGCTAAACACTTTACAAATATTATTTCATTTGATCCTCACAACAACCCTGGGAGATAGGTGCTATTATTATTCTCATTTTGCAGAGGAGGAAACTGAGGCAGACAGAGGTTAAGTGACTTGTTCAGGGACGTGCAGCTGGTGTCTGAGGCTAGATTTGAACTTGGGTCTTTCTGACTCCAGGCACAGTGCTCCATCCACTGTACCACCTAACTCCCCAGAAAGGGAGTTATGAGAGGGGAAAGAAATGAGGTGAAGAAAAGGGAGAGATGAGAGATAAGACCTTCTGTCAGGTAAAAGATGACAGGGGGAAAAAATCTTCCATTTCTCACTGGTCAGGCTCACAACTTGCCAGAGACCTGAGGGAAGATGACTTCCCTCAGGATCAAGAAATACACATACTATGTATAGATAAGCCATAGACAAGATAAATTGGAAGGGCAGCTAGGTGGTGCAGTGGATAGTGCACCGACCCTGAAGTCAGGAGGACCTGAGTTCAAATCTGGCCTCAGACCAAATACTTGACATTTGCTAGCTGTGTGTCCCTGGGCAAGTCACTTACCACCAATTGCCTAAAAAAAAAAAAAAATAAGAGCTACATACAAATATTATGGTGGGAATTTCCTGCAATATTACAGCTGGGTTTAGTGTAAGGCATTTGTGATGGGATTGCAAAATTACAATGAGGGCAGTGCCTATGGTCAGTCTAGCATTCAATAGAATTAAATGAGAAGATATTTGTGAAGTGTTTGGCACAGTGTCTGGCATATAGTAGGTACTTAATAAATGCTTATTCTTATCCCATCCCGATCCCAATATTATTGAGTTAAATGGATGTAACCTAGACATTTACCTCTGTAGGTGACAGTTGTTCTAGTTCTAGAGGTCTGGAATGGATGTTTTGATCTGTTCCAAGATATCGAATAAGAATTGTCTTTGGAGTTGGAGAAACCTCAGCCTCCTCCTGAAAGGAGATGTAAAGTGGATCACTGAGAGCATTACTGCAAGTTTTCAGGCCCATCCCATTTCCATGATCTCTTGTCACCCTTTCCCTGAACATTCTCCCCATCATCTTCCTCAAGGGATAGCCCCTCAGAATCTCAGTTTCCCTCAGTTGCCTTACTTCTGAGCCTTCTTTTGGAGACTCCTCTGTCTCAAGTATCTTTTCCAGCTGTTTGTCTGCCATCTGTCCAAAAGTCTTCTCCCATCCACTCATGTTGTAGTTCTTGTCGTCCACGTCTAGCTGCCAAGTAAAGCAAAGCAATGGATGTAATTATGGATTTGGAGCATTCGGTGCAGCTGGTTATATTCGTAACATATCACATTAATATAAGCAGTGTGGTATAATAGAAAGGAATTTGGCTCCAGAGTGTTCCCAGGAGAGAGAGGGATTCAAATCCTCTGGTACTGTGTTAGTTAGACACTTCCTAGCTGTATGACCATGGGCCAAGACATTTAATCCCTCGGCCTGTGTTGTTTCTTCTGTAAAGTGGGAATAATAATCATGCCTGCCTCATAAGGCTGTTTTGAGGATCAAATGAGAAAACATATGTAAAGCACTTTACAAGGACCTTAAAGTACTATATAAATGCTAGCCATTCTTATTCTTATTCTTAATGATTATACACAATCATTTGTAACAATGGGCAAATTATTTATCTTCTCTGAACCTCAGCTTACATATGTGTAAAATGGGGATAATAAAACATCCTGTAGCTACCTCACAGAGCTGTTGTGAAGATCAAATGAAATAATGTATATAAAAGTGCTTCACAAACTTTAAAGTGCTCTGTAAATGTCATCTATTATTAGCATGATGAATAAAAATAACAAGTGATGTTTGAAATAACTCATAGGAATGTTTGAGTAGGACCATATTTCTACCCCTGAGACTATGTGCTGGCCATTCATTCAGTCAGGGTTTGGGGCAAAGAGACTTTTGGGAGGAAGATGGAATTTTAATGAAGATCCCTGCTCTAGTTAAGACACACATGGTAAGATTCAAGGGTAGCTGGAGACTACCATGGCAGGATGCAAAGAACCAGGGGTGCCAAAATAGCCTTGGGGCTCTTTGGGGCAAAGAGAGAAAATACCTGAGATGCCAGGAAATGCTGGAGATCAACTGGGATTCCTTGAAGTGGAGGTGGCTTTGACAGAAATAGGGAGGTTTAGAAAAGGGATGGATTTTAGGGGGAAATATGTTAATTTCTGTTTTGGAAATATTGAGTTGAGATATCTCTGGGACATCCAGTTTGAGATCCAGTTTGATGATGAGGGGTTAAAGTTTATGAGAGGCAATGGAGCTGAGTACATAGATCTGTGAGTCTTCTGCCCAGCGATATTATTTAAACCAACAGGAGCTGGTGAGGTCTTTGAGAGAGTGAGTAGAGAGAGAAGAAAGCCCAGGACAGAGCCCAGTTAGGGGTTGTGATAAAGATGATGAGTATTGGTAAAGAGCAGGAGGAGGTATATAGCAAATTTTTGAAAAGTATATAATAAATTCAATAAGTTACTTTCAGAGCTGTCTTGTTTGTCTATGTTTCTTTCTGGAATTTCTTCTGTTCCCTTCAGTGCATTTAAAAAAAAAATGTTTTAATGTCCCTCTTTAGTTTCTTTTACTTTTTTTCTGCTTCTAAATTTCAGCAACACTATTGCTAGCTACCCCAACCAATTACTCCCCTGCCCCTAATAAAAAAGGAAAATACAATTCTTGTAACGAATAAAAATAGTCAAGCAAAACAAATCCACACATTTGCCATGTCCAAAAATGTAAATTTCATTCTGCCCCTTGGCACCATCACTTCTTTGTCAAAAGGGGGTAATATGATTTATGATTGGTCTTTTGGAGTCATGATTGATCAGTGTTCTCAAGTCTTTCAAAGTTTTTTTTGTCTTTATGATGTTATTATATACATATATATATATATATATATGTTGGTCTCTTGAGTCTAGAAACTTCACTCTGCCCCAGTTCATACAAGTCTTCCTAGATTTCTCTGAAAGTGCCCCTTTTCATCATGATTTCTTACAGCACAACAATATTCCATTGCATACATATGCCATACTTTATCCAGCCATTTCTTAATTGTTGGGTCCCACCTTCTAGAAGAACCCTTTCCCAGCCCTCTTCAGTTTTAGTGCCTTTCCTCTCAGATTATCATGAATTTAGCTTTTTATATATCTTATTTGTACCTAGATGTTTGCATGGTGTCTTCCTCATGGGACTGTGAGCTCCTTGAGAGCACGGATTGTTTTTGCTTGGTTTTGCCTGCCTTCGTGTCCTCGGTGCTTAGCACAGTACCTGGCACGGAAGAGGCACCTAATAAATGTTTGCTAACTTGACTGTTTCCAGTTCTGTTGCAATTTTTTTTAAAAGCTGATATAACTACTGTTGTACCTATGGATCTTTTTCCTCTCTCTAATGTCTTTGAGTTGCATGCCTTGTAATGATATAGCTTGATCAAAGAATACTTGCAGTTTAGGGACTTTGGGGATATAGTTACAAACAGCTTTATGGAATGACAAATGTAGCTATACCTACAATGTACCAGTGTACCTCTTCTCCTGTCCCTCCAACAACTGTCATTTTTCTTTTTTGTTATCTTTGCCAATCTGACATATGGGGGGGTAAAACAAAACTTATATTTCTTTAGTTATTAGTTTTGTATGGCTATCAATTGGTAGGCTTTTGAGGATTACCTCCTAAAATCCTTCGACCATTTCTTGATTTGTGAATAGCTGCCATTCTTATATATATGAATCAGTTTCTTACAAATTTTGAATAGCAAACCTTTATCAGAGAAACTTGCTGCAAAGACTTTTCCCACTTAATTGTTTTCCTTCAAATTTTCAAAAATAATATTTTATTTTCCCCAATTACATATAAAGATAATTTTAAATATTCTTTTTAAAAATTTTTCATCTCCAAATTCTATCCTTTCTTCCCTCTCTCTACCTTCCTTGAGATAATAAGCAATTTGATATAGGTTATACATGTGCAATCATGTAAAACATATTTCCATGTTAGTCATTTTGTGGAAGAAAGCTTAACCCCAAAAAATAAAAGAAAGAAGGAATGAAAGTGAAAAATAATATCCTTCGGTCTGTATTCAGACACAATCAGTTCTTTCTCTGGAAGTAGGTAACATTTTTCATCATAAGTCTTTTGGGATTGTCTTGGATCATTGTACTGCTGAGAATAGTTAAGTCATCCACAGTTGTTCATCATACAGTATGACTGTTTCTGTGTATGATGTTCTCCTGATTCTGCTCACTTCATTCTGCATCAGTTCATATAAATCTTTCCAGGTTTTTCTGAGAGCACTTGCTCGTCATTTCTCACAGCACAATAATAATATTCCATCACAATCATATACCACAGCTTGTTCAGCCATTCCTCAATTGATGGATATCTCCTCAATTTCTAATTCTTTGCCACCACAAAAAGTGCCACTATAAATATTTTTGTTAATGTAGGTCCTTTCTCCCTTTTTCATTTTTATCTCTTTGGTATACAGACCTAGTAGTGGTATTGCTGGGTCAATAGTTTTATAGCTCTTCGGGCATAGTTCCAAATTGCTCTCTAGAAGGGGTGGACCAGTTTACAACTCTACCAATAGTGCATTAGTATCCCAGTTTTCCCACATCTTCTCCAATATTTATCATTATCCTTTTCTGTCATATTAGCCACTCTGATAGGTGGCTACCTCAGAGTCATTTTAACTTATATTTCTCTTATCAATAGTGATTTAGAGCATTTTATATTACTATAGATACCTTCAATTTCTCCTTCTGAAAACTGCTTATATCGTTTGACCATTTGTTAATAGGGGAATTACTTGTATTCATATAAGTTTGACTTTGTTCTCTGTATTTTTGAGAAATGAGGCCTTTATCAGACATACTTGCTGTAAAACAAAAATTCCCTCAGTTTTCTGCTTTCTTCTAATTTTGGTTGCATTGGTTTTGTTTTTGTTTTAATTTAATATAATCAAAGTTATCCATTTTACATTTCATAAAGATATTTCTTGTTTGGCCCTAAATTCTTCCCTTCTCCACAGACCTGACAGATAAACCATTCCACGCTCCCCTAATTTGTGTAAATCATGTACCCATTTTGAACTTATCTTGGCATATGGCATGAGATGTTGGTCTATATCTAGTTTCTACCACACTGTTTTTCAGTTTTCCCTGCTGTTTTGCCAAATAGTGAGTTTTTGTCCCCAAAGCTTGATCTTTGGGTTTATCAAACACTAAATTACTATGGTCATTTACTATAATGTATAGAGTGTTGTTATTATTGTTGAGTCATCTCAGTCATGTCTGACTCTTCCTAACCACATTTGGAGTTTTCTTGGCAAAGATACTGGAGTGGTTTGCCATTTCCTTCTCTAGCTCATTTCACAGATGTGAAACTGAGGCAAACAGAGTTAAGTTTGCCCAGGATCACACAGCTAGTAAGTGTCTGAGGGTTGTTGTGAGAATCAAATGAGATAATATTTGTAAAGCACTTAGCACAGTACATGGCAAATAGTAGATATTTAATAAATTGTTGTTCTCCTTGCCGCACCTTGCATCTTCCTGATTATCAATTCAGCCTTCTTTCTATTATGTCATATTTGCCCAAAGCAAAAATAGTAACAAACACTTATTTCTAACAAATACCTCATACTCATTCAGGTTTTTTGTATCTTCACTTGTCAACAAAGAGACTTTTCTTCCTTTCATCTCAGAAAGGAGTAGATTACACGTAGTAACCCAATTGATGCATTCTTTCTAGGAGGAAATAATTGATTGGAATATATAATTTATTAAGTAGGAAAAGTAAACATCTCATTCATTCATTCATTCAATTGTTCACTTATTCAACAAATATTTACTAGACATTTCCTATTTTAGGAAAAATTGCATTTCAGTTCCACAGATAATTAGAAAAAAATTTTGTCTTAAAAATTTAGAACTCCTTCTTAGATTGTTCATATACAAGAAGACAGATGATATACAGCTGTAGTCACCCATGGATGGCAGCAGCTTCAAGAAGTATGATCTGGTCCTGGACCTCATAGTCCTGTTCAACCATAATACATTATTATGAACTTAAAATACATGAATGTCTCAACATTCAAATAAAAAAGGACTAGATATGAAACCATAAGCCATTATATACAACATCTTTTTTTTTCCTTTTAAATGTATATGAAATTTAACATGATAGTATTAGCACTGTCTGGCTTGTCTGAGAGACTGTCCTTTTGCCATCAGAGGAATGAATGCCCCACGCCAGCACAGCCCATCCCAATTTTCTAAGCTAACTTAGCTTGGCCTGTAGCAAAAGTAAGTGACAGAATATTAAATATGACTCCTAAATAATCAAGAAGATCATTGTCTGTTCCCACTGCCCCTGGGATTTGAGTCAGAATGAATCCTGCAGCCTGAAATACCAGCAGTATATATGGGGCACTTCCTGCTTCATCACAAACTAAGAAGTCACCCTATATAGTCCTTGAAGCTGTTTTCCCAGCCCTTGAACCATCTCAAGCAGGTACTCTAGGGGTATGAGGGAGGTGGCCTTCCTGCTAATATTAGTGTTACTGTCAGGGTATCCCCAACCTATAACACAAATATACCCTAATGGAAAGGAAATGGCCTCAGAAATGTGATCCCTGGTGCTTAGCAAGACTGAACCTAGAACACTTGACTAATCACTGTTCCTACTGGTATTACACGACAGGACCAATAGAAACCTGAACAGAGAACAGGTGAAGAGACACCAAATTACTAAGGGGAAGCCATAGAGGAGATGCCCTAGTAAGCTTCCCTTTCTAAATGGGATAGTCTTTATCAAGGCGCAAGAAATCACATAGAGGTCAAAATGCTCCTGGGACATGTTGCTTCTCTGGCAGTAAAGTACCACCCCATTTCTACCCTTTTGTGCCCATCCACGGGATAATAGGGTTAGTTTAGAGATCAGCACAGGGCCTAGCTCCCGATGTCATTTACCTTTGGGCCTTTCCCACTTCCAATCAAGTTGGCTGGATTCACCTGGGAGACCAGATCATTGAAAGTTCCATCACAACTGCAATCTATTTAAAACTTTGAGTCTGATTTATTCTATAAGCTTCTGCCGGTCTTGGTACTCCCTTGATTGATGGCTGGGAATTGTCATCTTCTTTTTCCCCTATTCTCTTTCCCTGAATTTTCAGGGAGTCCCTGATCTTCTGCTAACACACTTCTCCTTATTCTTTAACTTTGCTTTTCTACTCGTATTTCCTGGCACCAAATGAAACAAGTTTTCTCCTGAAGACTACATCCCTTGCCAATCAGTCCACAAGCACTTATTAAGTGTCCACCATGTATCAGGCACTGTGCTAAGTATGGAGGACAACGGCAAAAACAGTCACTGCTCTCATGGAGCTGACATTCTAATGGGAAGACAACATGCAGTACATAAAGTACATACACGGTAAGTATTGAATAGATTGGTGGGGATCTGACAGGGTAAAATCATTAGCAGGTAGAAGGAAAGAGAAAGGCCTCCTAAAAGTAGGATTTGAGCTAAGTCATAAAAAAAAAAGCCAAGCAAACTAAGATGCAGAAATGAGGAGTGAGAGCATTCCAGGCATAGGTAACAGCCAAGGCAAAGGTGCAGAGATGGGAAAAGGAGGGCCATGTTCAAGAAACAGGAAGGAGGCCAATGAAGCTGAATCCTAGAATATATAAAAGAGGAGTAAGGTGTAAGAAGACCGGAAAGATAAGAAGGGGCTGGATTGCAAAGAGTTTCAAATGCCAAACAAGGGACTTTGTCTTGGATTCATGAGTTAACACGAAACCACTGAAAACCTTTTGAATGCTGGCTGCTCCTTCTCTTGAGATTCCAGACTCATTATATCAGAAGGACGGTTGGGCATTCCCCCTATTGCCATGTATAGAACCCTTGCTCTGCCACCATCATCAACAATCTAGTGTTTGCTTCTTGAGATGGGCACTTTCATTATAGGAGGCAACCTTGTGAATTTAAGAGATTGGGAGTGCCAGAGGATTACTAATCTGTTTTTCTTTTTTATGGCCTAAGAGCCATTAATTTTTTATTATTTGGGGATCAAGGTCATTCCTCCTGCAATTTTTGGTTAACTTCTACTAATATTAACCTCATCTCACCAATGACTCCTAGAATAAGAGTGTTAAGTGTACAAGATAGCAATATGTAAAAGAATTTTTTCTCTGTCGCTGTGATGTAATTTTGTCTATAAGAGGCCTTGTTAAAATCCTAATGGTCATTCAGGTTTTACTTTATTAATCTTAAATGTTTAGGTTTATTTTTTGTCTGCGATCTGAAGCTATGATTAAGCATAATAAAACCTAGGTTTTTATCTTTAATTTCTAGGTTGTGGTAGATAAATTTTCAGCAGGAGCTACCAAATGAACTCAGAAAGGAAATATTTCTCTCAAAACACTCAAAAATGACTATTCCACAAGGCAATTACCCCAATTTTCCTTATATGGATCCAAATTCTGCTTCTCTGTAGCTTCTACCCATTGGTCCTATTTAGTTCTACCTCTTGGGGCAAAGCTGAACAAATCTAATACATCTTCTACCTGAAAGTCCTTCAAAAACTTGAAGATGGCAATTAGCACAATGTCTGACACATAGGAAGTGCTTAACAAATTCTTGGTGATTTATTGACACCATGAAGATGCATTGTAATAAAGTTGGACATGACACTCTAATAGATGTAACACTGGTTTTTAATTTGTTTTTCATGAAAGAAATAGGTACTAGAACACAATTTACCATGAGCAGAGATGAAGCTATATAGGAATATTTAGGAGGTGTTACTTTATCTAGGTACAAAGTATGTGCTCAGTAAATTCCTTTACCTTTCTTTAAAATCTGTGAACCTTATCATCTATTCTCCACCTAGATAACCATCAACTTCTGGCCTCGTGAGTATACAGAGTATATTGCTAATCTATTTGAGCTACTTTGGTGCCCACAATTATCTTCTCTTAATATAAAATTATACCATTAGAAATTCATTCCTTTAGACAAAAGATTCTTATTAAATACAGATTAATCTAAAAGGAATAACACATTGAGTCATTGTCACTCACTTCTTATGAATTACCAGGTCCTTTCCAACTGACAGCTAGCTGAGAGCAGCTTCAAGGAGGAATGAAACATAAAAGGTACTTTTGACATAAGGGAAGAATGGTAATAGAGTTTTTAAAGCTGGGGTTGTGCCCAGGGAAAGCATGAATGGGTAGGATGTCATAGCCTAGAAAAGTATGTCACCAAAGGTACCTGAATGAGAGAGAGAAAAGTTCAGGAGGGAGACAGAAAAGTATAGAAGGCTGAGTTTTCATACTCCAGTTTTTTCTGAGGATCAAATGAGTTAAAATGAAAGCATGTTTCTAATAATAATGATAATAATTAGCATTTACATAGTGCTTCAGGGCTTGCAAAGCACTCTACAAATATTATCTCATTTTATCTTCATAATAACTCTGGTAGGTAGGTGCTATAATTATCCCCATTTTACAGATGAGGAAAATGAGGAAGAAAGAGATTAAATGACTTCATTTCCCACCCAGCTAATCTCCTGGATTTCATGATCTCCAGAAACTCATCATTCTACAAGATGAAATCAATTATTCTTATATTCAAACTTCCTCAGTAATCCCTGCCCCTGGAACTTTTGCTTCCTTCTCTTTAGAAAGAATAAGGGTGGGTGGACATCTGAACTCTGTTTGAGGAGACTCCAGCCTACACACACACACTTTTCACCTTCTTTTCATGAATTGTCTTCCCCTATTGGTTTGTGAACTCCTTGAGGGCAGGGGCAGGGACAGAGTTATTATACAGGCAGAATTTTACCCATGTCATTCTGACTCCAAATCCAGTGCTCTGTCCACTACACCATTTAGTGATCTCTTTTCTCTTTCAGAGAAAAAAACAATGTGAAAAAAAACAATGTTTTGATAACCTGAATGGGAAGAACCAGGAATAATTTGGAAAGCTGCATGGCATCACGATACTTTGTCCTAAAATCACCTAGAATTTTAGAATTTAGCCTTTGGGATTTAGCAGAGTTTTGGGGATTGAGTTTGTTTTATTGGACAGAAACTTTGGAGTCCTTGCTGGACTCTAAGCTTCCCAAATGAATTATTCCTAGGCTAATTCTGTTACTATACTCCAGAATAAAATGAGTAAGAATTGCTTTATTAATGCATATTTTGAAAGGAAGATTACCTTAATCTTTGTCAGATCCTCAATATCCTTATCAGCATTTTGACTGAAGACACTTGTTTTCTTCATAGCCATTGTTGCCACCGTGCTTTTGCAACAACTGAGAAAACAGAATATTCTTGAAGTGTGAGCATTATTGGAACATTTTAGTGGTTTAAATTTCAAAGAAAAGAGAGTTTACTGTAGCAATCAACAATTTTTTAATACTGATCTAGCAAAGAAAAAAATTAATACTGACCCTCCAGGGTACTAATTTGTGTATCTTGTCTACCACTTGGTATTGGTATATGTATGTATGTGTGTATATACATACATATGTGTATAAATATATGTTTATATGTATATGACAAGAGAGAGAGGTAGAGATTGAGAAAGATGGAGACTGAGAAAGAGCCTAAATCCTAATGGTTGAGAACTCAACTTCCTGAATTTGAGTCATTACTATTATTATTAGGTTTTATTAGATATTCACCATTTAGTGAACCCTCATTTCAGGAACTAGTTCCTCAAGTTGGGTGAGATGTCATAGATTATATGATTTGTTAAATTGCACATTATATACATAAATTATACATTAAAAAGGATACCCAGACCATTATTTTTTTGGTTGACTAAAGTAAAAGTGTTAGTTATGTTGTGAAAGAAATATCTCATTTTTGAGTTCATGTGGTGGGTTACTGCTGCTGCTGAATATACCTATCATAGCACAGAAATTATAGAAGTAAAAATCTAAGTTTTATTATGCTTATTAAGTACAGGCTTAGAAGGTAGAAAAAGAACCCTGAACAAAGATTAGAACTTTAAGGAGGCTTTTTTATAGGCAAAATTATGTCAGAGGGACAGAAAAAATAATTTTTGACATACAGCAATCTAGTACATCTTCTTAGGCCATAAAAGTTGAACAAATTTAGTACTTCCTCTTAGGCCATAAAAACTGAACAAAATTAAGTCAAGTTACAGATTAAACTATGTTTAGAAGGTTCACAATGTGTTGATTGAGAGTGGAGATTTACATTCCTCAAAAATAACTACAGAGTCAGAGCCAATAGAATCACTTTACAATAGTTAGCTAAATCACCTCAGGAAACTCAAAACTCCCTTTTGGCTTCTTATCTGAGGAATGTCATAAAGTTTTCCCTTAATATTATCGTTCCATGAATCAGGTTTTAGGTAAGCGAGGTTAATATTAACAGAAAACAGGATTCAGTTGGCCAAAATGATCCTGGAGTTCATATAATACAAATTAATAAAAGGAAATTAAAAATTATCATGACAGCATCTTGAGTTTTACATGAAGTGAATAGGAAACTAGAACCTTTCTACAGAACACCCATTATTCACCTGAGTTAAGGTACCTTTCAAAGGACTCAAAATAACAATACCCACAATTCCACTGATTAACCACCCTCTTTCTTACCCAATACCAATTTTTTTTTATGATTACAGCTTGGTAGTATACTTTGGGCAGCTAGGTAGTACAGTGGATAAAGTGCTGGGCCTGAAATCAGGAAGACTCATCTTTATGAGTTCAAATCTGGCCTCATACACTTATTAGCTGTGTGACATGGGAAAGTCACTTAATTCTGTTTGCCTCAGTTTCCTCTTCTATCAAATGAACTGGAGAAGGAAATGGCAAACCACTCCAGTATCTTTGCCAAGAAAACCTCAAATGGGGTCACAAAGAGTTGGAAATGACTGAAACTATTGAACAAATATGGTTTGAGATCTGGTACTGCTAGTCTCCCTTTGCATTTTTTTCCTTGCTTCTCTTAATATTCTTCACCTTTTGTTCTTTCAGGTGAATTTTGTTATTTTTTTCCAGCTTTATAAGGTAATCCTCTGGTAATCTGACTGGCATGGCACTGAATAAGTAGATTAATTTAGGTAGCATTTTTATTATATTGGCTTGGCCCACTCATGAGCAATTAATATTTCTCCAATTATTTGTGTTCACATAGTGCCTGTGTGTGTTTCTTAGCAGGTAGACTCCCAAGTATTTTGTACTATCTGTAGTTATTTTTAATGGAATATCTCTTCCTGCTGGGTTTTGTTGATATACAGACATGTGTGGGTATATATTATATCCTTCAATTTTGCTGAGGTTGTTCATTGTTTTGATTAATTTTTTAGTTGACTCTCTAGGGTCCTTTAAATAAATCATCTTATTATCTGCAAAGAGTGATATTTTGTTTCCTCATTGCTTGGGTTTATTCCTTCAATATATTTTTCCTGTGTTATTGCTATAGGTAAAATTTCTAGCAGAAATGTAATAGTGATAATGTATATCCTGGCATTATCTCCCTTACAGATAATGCTTGCTCTTATAGATACTACTTATCATTTTAAGGAAAACTCCCTTTAGTCTTGTGCTTTCTAATATTTTAAACTGGAGTGGATGTTATATTTTGCTCAGCATCTATTGAAATAATCATATGATTTGTGTTGTTTTTATTGTTTTTTTCTTTTTATAAATTTTTATACATAAATTTAAAATTTGTTTTTAGTTCTCAACATTCACTTCCGTGAGATTTTGAGTGCCAAATTTTCTCACCTCCCCCACCCCAAGACAGTGTACATTCTGAATACCCCTCCCCCTAATCTTCCCTCCCTTCTATCTCCTCACCCCCTTCTCTTATTCCCTTCCCCTTCTATTTTCCTGTAGGACAGGATAAATTTCTATACCCCATTGCCTGTATATCTTATTTCCCAGTTGCATGTGAAAACAATTTTTAACATTTGTTTTTAAAACTTTTGGCTTGATATGATCCAATTGATATGATCAAAGGATATGAACAGGCAGTTCTCAGATGAAGAAATTAAAGCCATCTATAGACATATGAAAAAATGCTTGAAATCACTATTGATTAGAGAAATGCAAATCAAAACAATTCTGAGGGACCACATCATACCTATCAGATTGGCCAATATGACAAAACAAGAAAATGATAAATGTTGGAGAAGATGTGGGAAAATTGGAACACTAATGCATTATTGATGGAGATGTGAACTGATTCAATCATTCTGGAGAGCAATTTGGAACTATGCCCCAAGGGCTATAAAAATGTGCCTACCCTTTGATCCAGCAACAGCACTTCTAGTGGCTATGTCCCAAAGAGATCATAAAAATGGAAAAAAAAAAACCCACATGTACAAAAATATTTATAGCAGCTCTTTTTGTGGTGGCAAAGAATTGGAAATTGAGGGGATGCCCATCAATTGGGGAATGGCTGAACAAGTTGTGCTATATGAATGTAATGGAATACTGTTGTGCTTTAAGAAGTGATGAGCAGGCAGACTTCAGAAAAACCCGGAAAGACTCGTATGGACTGATGCTGAGTGAAGTGAGCAGAACCAGAAGAACACTGTACACAGTAACAGCCATGTTGTGTGATGACTAACTTTGATAGACTTCTCAGCAATGCAAGGATCTAAGACATCTCCAAAAGTCTCCTGATGGAAAATGCTATCCACATCTAGAGAAAGAACTAGGGTTTGAATGCAGATTGAAGCATACTATTTGCCATTTTTTTTTCTATTTTGTTTTGTTTCCTCTTTCTTGGGGTTCCTCCTATTGGTTCTAATTCTTCCTTACAACATGACTAATGTGAAAATATGTTTGACAGGAATGTATATGTAAAGCTTATAGATTGCGTGCTGTCTTAGGGAAGGAGGGTGGGAGGGAGGGAAAGAAAATTTTAAGCTCAAAAGTTTATGGAAATGATTGTTGATAAATCAAAATAAATTAATAAAAAATTTTAAAAAAACTTTGGGTTCCAAATTTTCTCCCTTCCTCCCTCCCCATCTACCCTCATTGAGAAGGCAAGCAACTCGATACAGGTTATACATGTGTAGTCATGTGAAACACTTGCATAGTAGTCATGTTGTGAAAGATTAACTATATTTCCCTTCATCCTATCCTGCCCCCTGTTTATTCTATTCTCTTTTAATCCTGTCCTTCCTTAGAAGTGTTTGCTTCTGATAACCCCCTTCCCCCAATCTGCCCTCCCTTCTATCATCCCCATACTCTCTTTTCCCCTTCCCCCTATTAAGCCAAATCCAATGAAAATAAGATTCACTCATTCCCTCTCACCTTCCCCCACTTCCCCTCCACTGTAAAAGCTTTTTCTTGTCTGTTTTATGTGAGATAATTTACCCTGTTCTACCTCTCCCTTTTTCCTTCTCCCAATATCATCCTCTCTCACCCCTTAATTTTATTTTTTAGATATCACCTCTTCATCTTCAACTCACCCTGTGCCCTCTATCTATCTATCTATCTATCTATCTATCTATCTATCTATCTATCTATCTAAACATATAATTTTTTCCCTCCAACTACCCTAACACTGAGAAAGGTCTCATGAGTTATAAATATCATCTTTCCATGTAGGAATGTAAACAGTTCAACTTTAATAAGTCCCTTATGATTTCTCTTTCCTGTTTGCCTTTTCATGCTGCTCTTGAGTCTTGTATTTGAAAATCAAATTTTCTATTCAGCTCTGGTCTTTTCATCAAGAATGCTTGACAGTCCTCTATTTCACTGAATGTCCACTTTTTCCCCTGTAGGATTATACTCAGTTTTGCTGGGTAGGTGATTCTTGGTTGTAATCCTACTTCCTTTGACCTCCAGAATATCATATTCCAAGCCCTGTGGTCCCTTAATATAGAAGTTGCTAAATCTTGTGTTATCCTGATTGTGTTTCCACAATACTTGAATTGTTTCTTTCTGGCTGCTTGAAATATTTTCTCCTTGACCTGGGAACTCTGGAATTTGGCTACAATATTCCTAGGAATTCTCCTTTGAGGATCTCTTTCAGGAGATGATTGGTGAATTCTTTACATTTCTATTTTACCCTCTGGTTCTAGAATATCAGGGCAGTTTTCCTTGATAATTTCTTGAAAGATGATGTCTAGGCTCTTTTTTTGATCATGGCTTTCAGGTAGTCCAATAATTTTTAAATTATCTCTCCTGGATCTATTTTCCATGTCAGTTGTTTTTCCAATGAGATAGTGCACATTGTCTTCTATTTTTTCATTCCTATGGTTTTGTTTTACAATTTCTTGATTTCTCATAAAATCATTAGCTTCCATTTGCTCCATTCTAATTTTTAAGGAAGTATTTTTTTCAGTGAGCTTTTGGACTTCCTTTTCCATCGGCCCAATTTTGCTTTTGAAGTCATTCTTCTCCTTATTGGCTTTTTGGACCTCTTTTGCCATTTGGGTTAGGCTATTTTTTAAGGTGTTACTTTATTCAGTATTTTTTGGGGTCTCTTTTAACAAGCTGTTGACTTGTTTTTCATGATTTTCTTGCATCACTCTCATTTCTCTTCCCAGTTTTTCCTCCACTTCTCTTACTTGCTTCTCAAAATCCTTTTTGAGCTCTTCCATGGCCTGGGACTGATTCAGAATTTTCTTGGAGGCTTTAGATGTAGGAGCTTTGACTTTGTTGTCTTCTTCTGGTTGTATGTTTTGATCTTCTTTGTCACCAAAGAAAGATTCTATGATCTCACTTTTTTGTGTGGTTTGCTCATGATCCCAGCCAATTACTTGAGTTTTAAACTCTTTGTTAAGGTAGGGATCTGCTTGCAGTGTGGAGAATGTACTATCCCAAGCTTTGGGGGTTTTGTGCAGCTATTTTCAGAGATACTTCTAGGGACCTGTAAGTTTTCAGTTCTTTCAAGGAGGTATGATCAAGGGCAAGGTGTTTACTCCTTTCCTGGCCTGTGCTCTAGTCTATGAGTGACCACAAGCATTCTTTTCTGCCTTGGAACTGTGAGGAGGATTTCCTCTCCACTGCCACTACCAGCTCCACTGTGCCAGTGCTCCTCCTCACTCCAGGACTGCGACCCAGAACTGTGATCCAGATCCAAGCACAGGCAAAGCAAGAGAATCCTGCCTCAGCACCAGCAAAGAGATTCCTGCAATCCCCCTCTAATCAGCCACTCGATTCCCCCTCCTTCTGTGAGCTGGAAGCTCTGGAGGCAGCCACCGTCCTGGGGCTGTGTCGGGACCAGGGCCAGACTGAGATCCTCTCTCACTGCAGTTAGACAGACTTTTCCTACTGACCTTCTAAGTTGTCTTTGGTGTTTGTGGGTTGAGAAGTCTAGAAACCACCACAGCGCCCCTTGATTCAATTCCCTAAGGACTGCTCCAGTTTTACTGAGGCCTTTTCTTTGCCTGTGTGGCCTGCACGGCCCAAGATAAACTGCACTCCTCTCTCAGCCTGGTACGGGTGGTCTCGGGCTAGAAATTTGTTTCACTCTTTTTGTGGGTTCTGCTGCTCTAGAATTTGTTTAGAGCCATTTTTTACAGGTATTTGGAGGGGTTTGGGGGAGAGCTCAAGCAAGTCACTGCTTTTACTCTGCCATCTTTGCTCTGCCCCTTTGAATTGTTTTTATTGTTAATATAGTCAATTATGCTTATAGTTTTCCTGCTATTGAACCAGTACTTCGTTCCTTGTACAAATCCAGTGTGTTCATAATGTATGATCTTTGTGATATGTTGCTGTAATCTCCTTGCTAGTATTTTAATTAAATTTTTGCATTAATATTCATTAAGGAAATTGGTCTATGGTTTTCTTTCTCTGTTTTGACTTTCCTTGGTTTAGGTATCAAGACCATGTTTATGTTATAGAAAGAATTTGGTAAGATTCTTTCTTTACATTTTTTCAAATAATATGTAATATTAGAATTGGTCTTTAAATGCTTGATAGAATTTGTTTGTAAACCCACCTGGTCTGGGGATTTTTTTCTTAAGGAATTCACTTATGGCTTATTCAAATTTTTTTTTTCAAAGATAGGGTTGTTTAATTCGATATCCTTTCCTGTTAATCTGGAAAATTCACATTTTGTAAATATTCATTTATTTCACTAAGATTGATAGTTTTATTGCATGTAGTTGGGCAAAGTAGCTCCTAACTATTGCTTAATTTCATCTTCCTTGGCTGTAAATTCACTTTTTCCATTTTTGATACTGGTAATTTTGTTTTCTTATTTCTTTTTAAAAAATCAAATTAGCCAGTGGTTTACCTATTTTTTTGCTCTCTTCAAAAAGCCAGCTCCTAGTTTTATTTAATAGTTCAATGGTTTTTTATTTTCAGTTTTGTTAATCTCCCCTTTGACTTTTCAGGATTTCTATTTTGGTGTTAATTGGAGATCTTTTATTTGTTGGTTTTCTAATTTTTTTAGATACTCAATTTTTTTTTCTCTTTTATTGACATGTGTGTAGAAATAAAAACTTTCCCTAAGTAGTGCTCTGCCTATATCCCACAGATTTTGGTATGTTATGTCAATATTGCCATGACCTTTAATGAAATTATTGGTTGTTTCTATGATTGATTCTTTGACCCACCCATTCTTCAGGATTAAGGTATTTAGTTTTCAATTAATTTTTAATCTGTGCATCAAAGGTTTTTAGCTGAATGTAATTTTTATTGCATTATGGTCATAAAATGTATTTAATTTTTCTGCATTTGTTTGTGAGATGTTTATGATCTAATATATGGTAAATTTTTGTAAAGGTGCCATGCACAGCTGAGAAATAGGTATACTCCTTTCTATTCCCATTCAATATTTTGCAGGGGTTGATCATAGCTAATTTTTCTAAAATTCTACTTGTCACTTTAATTTCTTCTTGTTTATTTTTATGGCTAGGTTTATCTAGGTCTGAGAGGGCTAAACTGATGACCCTCAGTATTATAATTTCACTATTTCATCCTGTTACTTAGTCAACTTTTCCTTTAAGAATTTACATGTTATTCCATTAGGTGCATATATGTTCAATATTGATACTAATCCATTGTCTATGGTGTCTTTTAGGAAAATGTAGTTTCTCTGTTTATCTCTTAATTAGATCTATTTTCCTTTTGCTTTGCCTGAGATGCAGAACACTACCCTGCCTTTTTTGCTTCAGCTAAAGAATAATAGATTCTGCTCCAGCCCCTTATTTTTACTTCTATGTATATCCTGTTTCAAGAGTGTTTCTTGTAAACAACATATTGTTGTCTTCTAGTTTCTAATCCATTCTTATATTCACTTCCATTTTATGGGTGAGTTCATTCCATTTACATTTACAATTATGATTGCTGTGTATTTCCCTCCATCCTATTCAATTATGCTTATCCTTCTTTTTTTTCATCCTGTGCCCTCTTTAAGAGTTTTTGCTTCTGATCTCTTAATTTTTCTTGCTCCTTTTTCTCTCATATCCTCTCTTTTTCTTAATTTCTTTTCCTCCTACTTCTCTGTTTGATAAAATGAATTTCAATATTCAGCTATTTGTGCATATGTATTCTTTCTTCCTTAAATAAGTTCAGATGAGGGTGAGGCTCAAGTGTTGTTGCTTATCTTCTTCCATCGTCTCTCCATTGTATAAAATCTTCCTTGCATGCCCCATTTATGTGAAATAATCTTTCCCATTATTCCTTTCCCTTCTCCTTTTCCCAGTGCATTACTCTTCCCCAACCTTCCATTCTTCATTTTAGATCATCTAAAAATAATAGGATAACACTGGAGACTCTAAAACCCCTGCTAATCATAAATTTTTGATGGGTTACATAAATTATCTCTCCATATAATAATGTAAATAGTTTAACCTTATTTTGGTCCCTTATGGTTTCTCACTCATTCATATCTGCCTTTTTTTGAGTCCTCTACTTGTATGTCAAATTTTCTATTCAACCACGGTCTTCTAAACAGGAATACTTGAAAGTCCTCTTTTTCATTTAATATCCATTTTTCCCCCTGTAGTATTACACTCAGGTTTGTAGATAATTTATTCTTGTTCGTAAACTTAGCTCCTTTGCCTTCTAGAATATCATATTCCAATCCTCCATTCCTTTATAATGGTAGCCATTAAATCTTGTGTGATCCTAACTCACTTCATGGTCCTTGAAATTTTTTTCAGGCTGCTTGCAGTATTTTCTCCTTGACTTATGAGTTCTGTATTTTGGCTACACTATTCCTAAAGTTTTATGTGGGTTTCTTTCAAGAGGTGACCAGTGGATTCTTTCAATTTCTACTTTGTCCTCTGATTCTAAGAGATCTGGGCCTTTATAATTTCCTGAAATATGATATCTAAGTTCTTTTTTTCTTCATAGCTTTCAGGAACACCAATGATTTTTAATTTTTAAATTCTCTCTCCTCTATTTTCCAAGCCAGTTGTTTTTCCTATCAGATATCTCATAATTCATAATTTTATTTATTTTTTTCATTTTATTTTTTTCAGCCTTTGATTTATTATTTCTTCATGTGTTGTGGAGTTGTTAACATTCTAATTCTAATTTTAAAGACAAATTCTAATTTTTAAAGAATTTAAGGAATTACTTTGTTCAGCAAGGTTTTGTTCCTGTTAACTCTCTTATCACTGTTACTTCATGTATATTTTATCTTTACAAGTACAAAATCAATCATCAGAGTTTCACCTGAATAAATAGATAGAGAATCGGCTCAACATTTTTGCCAGTGACGTGCCTTCTATTTCCAACATAGCAATGCCTGTATGAAGACGAACTTCCTCCTCACTGGCATCTAGTTCGGTCTTTGGGAGAGAATTCTCATCAGTATAGTCAGGTATCAGTATAATAAGCATATTTACCATCCATTTAATCATGGCTATATGGAGTTCATTCACCTGTAGGAAGAAAAATATTAAATATTTTAAAAGGTTAGATTTCAAATGAACCATTTAAAATTCGTTAAAGTTATATTGCATTTAGATGTTGGAGATGAATTTATCCTTAGGTCCTGACTTTAATGATACTATGGTGCTTGATGAAATTAAATCCAATATCTAGTGTTGCTATAACGTTAACTCTAGTCTTTTTTTCTCACTATAGCATATGATGCTTCTGTCTTCCTATCTCTAAGTTTGGTTAGGACATTGATAAAAGGCACTGTTCTACAGCCATTTAAAAAGGGCTGTTTTCTCAGAAGGAAGTGCAATGGAAGGTACATCAGCATAGTAGGGTATATCCTTTAAAAAACACTTTCTTGTGATGGAATACTACTGTGCTGTAAGAAATGATGAACAGGTTGATTTTAGAAAAACATGGAAAGACTTGGATGAAATAATGAAGAGTGAAATGAGCAGAACCAAGAGAACATTGCATACAGTAACAGTAATATTGTTCAAAGAATAACTGTGAATGACTAAGCTATTCTATCATAAATATTCAAGTCAACTCCAAAGGACCCATGAAGGAAGATGCTAACCACTTCCAGAGAAAGGGCTGATAAACAGAAGTATGCAAGTGTGCATAGTATGGACACCTATACATATATACATGTACATATATTTATATACATGCACACATGTGTGTATATGTATGTATGTACACACACACACACATACATATATAATCAAATGGTGACCTTCTCAGGTGTGGGATGGGGAGGGAGGGAGGGAAACAGTTCATAACTTAAAATATAACCAAAAAATAAGATTACATTAAAAGCAAAGTCTAGGTTCCCAATTAAAATGTATGATTTATAAAATTTTTTAAAATTTATTTATTTTTAGCTTTCAATATTCACTTCCATGAGATTTTGAGTTCAATTTTCTTCCCATCTCATCCCTCTCCCCACCCCAAGATGGCATGCATTCTTTATACCCCTTCCTCTAATCTGCCCTCCCTTCTACCTCTCACCCCTCTTCTCTTATCCCCCTCCCCTTCTATTTTCCTGTAGGGCAGGATAGATTTCTATACCCCATTTCCTATATTTCTTATTTCCCAGTTGCATATGAAAACAATTTTTTAACATGTGTTTTTAAAACTTTGGGTTCCAAATTTTCTCCCTTCCTCACTCCCCACTCACCCTCATTGAAAAGGCAAGCATCTCGGTACAGGTTATTGATGTGTAGTCATGCAAAACACTTCCATAGTAGTCATGTGGTGAAAAACTAAGTATATTTCCCTTCATCCTATCCCACCCCCCAATTATTCTATTCTCTCTTTTGACCCTGTCCCTCCTCAGAAGTGTTTGCTTCTGATTACACCCTCCCCAAATCTGACCTCCCCTCTATCATCCCCCTGCTCTCTTGTCCCCCCTATTTTCCTGTAGGGTAAGATAGATTTCCATACCTGATTGCGTATGTTATTCCCTCTTTAAGCCAAATCCTATGAGAATAAGGTTCACTCATTCCCGCTCACCTTCCCGTTTCCCCTCCACTGTAAAAGCCTTTTCTTGTCTGTTTCATGTGAGATAATTTACCCCATTCTACCTCTCCCTTTCTTCTTCTCCCAGTATAATCCTTTCTCATCCCTTAATTTTATTCTTCAGATATCACCGCTTCATCTTCAACTCACCCTGTGCCCTCTATCTGTCTATCTATCTACCTATCTATCTATCTATATATACATACATCTAATTTTTTTCCCTCCAACTACCCTAATACTGATAAAGGTCTCATGAGTTACAAATATCATTTTTCCATGCAGGAATGTAAACAGTTCAACCTTAATAAGTCTCTTATGAATTGGTATGTGTTGAAGATAGCAAGCACCAAATAATATTGCAAAAAGAATAAAGAAAGAAAAGAAAAGAAATTGATTACATTTTGACAGAAACCAAACAACTTGTTACCATTGTGGGAGTTAATCCCTGAGTCATGTTATCAGTATATAGTCAGATGACCAACTTGTCAGGGCATGGATCAAAATTAGTTTTAAAAAAAGCAATAAGAAATAAAAATAATGAAAGAAAGGTATGGTGTACAATTGAAGCAAGTTAATCCTGAACTATTTAAACAAATAATCAGCAATGAGAGATTGGAAATGGATTTTAGAAATGACATTGACACTGATTAAAAGAATTTCATGGAGAGGTCCAGCTGCTGCAAATTTATTGCCACAAGACCCAAAAAAACTCCGAAAGTGTCTAAATCAGCAAACATGTGACTCGGTTGTAAGGAGGAGAGAGATGGCAGCTAAGGCAATACTAGATAGAACAGAAACGCTTTTACAAAATCTTTTTTAAGGATGATGGGCAGTCATGAATAATATCATCTCATAAAGCAGAGAAAAGCAGTGGAAGGTAGAATAAGTTTAAGGAAAACCTGGCAAGAGATCTAACTAAGAACACTCACCCCAAGGGCATTTAAGAACAAAAATGTAAGGAGGAAAATGAATAAAAGAAAATAGAAAAGATCCTCAAAGCTTACTATAACATGTGCTTATTGGGGAAATAGAAATAGCATGAAAGAAAATAAAACTGAGAATTAACCCCTTGAGAGCGTTCTAGAGAAAAAACCATACTCTCTAAGAGTTGAGGTCCCCAAATATGATAAAACTTGAGAACCAGGAAAAAAGGAAATAAGGATGACTGTGGACGAGTGTGAAGTCCAAAAGTGAAAACAATGGAAGAGGAGCCCATATAAGTGTGATGGGGGGATCCCACCGTTCCAGCGGGCCTGGGCTGGCTAGGATGATAACTTACAGGTGAGACGGCGGCTTTGGGGATCCCAACTCTGGGATGTGGAGGAGGAGGCAGCGGGTGTAGGTGGAATGCATGGATACAGCCCTCCTGTGCTCATAGCTCCTATTGCACCAGAAGATGCGCAATAAATATGGCACTTTCCCTTCAAAAATGCTTGAAGTTTGCTTATGGAAGGAGGCATCAGAAAGATTGTGGCTTGTAAGTTATGGTGCAGTGGTACAGTTTTCTATGTTCTTGCTCTTTCTTGCAGATGAAATCATGCATAAGCAAACAGGAAATTTGACTCATACTCAACTTATTCCCTAATATATCAATTGTATTGGAACCAATTTATGTTTTCAGAACAAACATGATAGCAGAACTGATCGTTTATACGGGGTGAAAGTTTGCTGATTTTTACTGGATGGAGGCATAAATAGTATGCTTCTGAAATATGTGAATGACACAAATATGAAAGGGATAATTAATATGCAGGATGACAGAGATGGGCTCCCAAAAGATCTCAAGAGGTTAGCTTTGTCACTAAGCTAACAAAACGAAATTTTATAGAGATAAATGCATTTGTATTTTTAAAAAATCAGCTACATGGGGCAGCTTGGTGGTGCAGTGGATACAGCACTGGCCCTGGAGATAGGAGGACTGAGTTCAAATCTGGTCTCAGACCAGACACTTGACACTTACTAGCTATGTGACCCTGGGCAAGTCACTTAACCCCAATTGCCTCATCAAAAAAAAAAAGCTGCAAAAGTACCATATGGAAGAAGTGAGAACTGGGGAACGTGGTTATAATACAGTTCTCGTGAGAAAATATTTAGGGGGGATACCTAGTGGACAAGAAGCTCAATGTGAGTTCGCATACAGAAGGATGAATGTGATAATCATGCCAGATGTTGTCTTTGCCAGACCACATCAACACCATTGTGTTTAGCTCTAGGTATCACATTGTATAAGGGATATTGACAAGATGATGTGCACTTACAGGTTGGTACCTGGGTGGGGGAAGGGACTAGAAGATTCATTAGATGAGGATCAGTTGATTTAAGTGGGAATGCTTAGCCTGGAGAAAAGAAGACTTAAGGCAGACATTATAGAAGTCTTTGAGTATCTGAAAGGTTATTGTGTGAAAGAGGAATTAAACTTGCTCCAGAAAATAGAACTAGGACAAATTGGGTGGGGGTGGGAGATTTTAAAGAAACAGGTTTCCTTCTTTTTCTTTTGGCAGTCGGGGTTAAGTGACTTGCCCAGGGTCACACAGCAGTCTGAGGCCAGATTTGAACTCAGGTTCTCCTGACTCCAGGGTCAGTGCTCTATACACTGTGCCACCTAGCTTCCCCCAACAGTTTTCAACATAAGCAAAACTTAAAAACTATGACTGTCCAAAGATGAGTTCCCTATTACTGGAGGTCTCCAAGTGGAGACTATATCGTACTGTACTTCATGTCAGGGACTAGAAGGTCTTTGGGGTCCCATCTACCATTGTGAATCTGCTACCTGTTGCAACCACATAGTGGTTCATCACCAAGTCAGTGTGGACTGAAATCTGAAGCCTTTTCAGTCAGTCTAGAACATGCATCAATGGCACATCACATAGACCCTTTAGTTTCCCTGCTTTAATTTCTGAAGCCAGTACACTTCCAACCAAAGATGGAGGATCAATGTCTTATTTCAGAAACTGGAGTTTAGGTCTAATGGTCAAACCACTTGTTTACCAGCCCTCAGACAAAGAAATTGTGTAGCCTGAGAATTCTGTAGCCTCCTACCTAGTCCCAGTTGGAAATGGTTGGGGATATTGTGCAGCAATAGCAAAGGCATGTGTTTTCCTAAGGTCATTCATCCTCCCTACACATACCAGTTTTCTAGCTCTACAACTTTCTCAAGCTTATTCCCACAGAATCTAGGCATTGGGAGGGACTTCAAGCACCATCTAGTCTGATCTGTACCTCAACAAGATTCCTCTCCACACCAACCACCAAAAGTGGTACTAGTGGTTCCCAAACTTATTTTGCCTACTACCCCCTCTTCAAAAAACATTACTCAGCAGCACCGTGGGGTTATGTTAGGTTAATCCTTATTTTTATTCAATGCCCCCCAATTGCACCTGAGACTAATACCACCTCGCTGGATCGTTTGAGCACCCCTAGTGGATGGTACCACCCACTTTGAGAACCTTGAAGGCTTCCAATGGAGAGTAATCTATTATTTCACAAGGCAGCCTCTTTGGGATGACCATTATAGTTAGTATTCCATATGTTATGTGGACTTATAACAAATGATTGTATGTTAAGTGTTTGTAAAACATCATGACTGTACAAGTTTAGCTTATGAGTGAAATTATGTAGTTTCACTAATAAAATGTTCCATAATGATGAAGCCAACATTTGAGAGAAATGATCATCTTGTATTGGTGAAGAGGTCAAGTTGGGCTGATATCTTAAGAAGTTATAAGAAAGAACAAAAAATGAAAGATGTTCAGGTGGAATGCTCTACTGGTATTATATCGATGTCAGGAGAAAATGAGGAAGCCCTCTAGTTTGTTGGATGGATCCTCTGTGTGGAACTTGAGGGAAGATACTAATACTCATCACTTGGGTTGGGCAAGCATGGCTAGGATGTGACCTGCATACTGGAAGGAATGTTGAAATCAATGTGATCATAGATCCATTGGAGTTAGAAATGATACTCATGTATTATCACATCTGCGTATATGTCTTATCCTCCTACTAAACCGTAAGGTCCCAACAGACAGAAACCACGTCTTACCTGAACTTTGTATTCTTCCAATGTCCGATGCAATGCTCTGCACACCGAAGGAACTTAAAAGGTAATTGGCTTTGAAATGTTTGTTGGATTGAATTCATCTCCCAAAAAGGTACATTTATTTATTCTATATTCCATATTCTATATTATAACAGACTTCTGAGCATATCTAGGAACCTTCTGTTTTCACCTCATGTAACCACTTTGACCAAGTGCAGTCAATTCCAAATGTCACCATGTCCACAACACCAGAGGAAGAGTAACATTCATGATATTGGACCTTTGGCAAGTAAAGAGTAAAGCTAAAAACACTTCTTATATGCTCTAGGACTTCCTTCCAGAGGAAATAGCACTATTCTAATTTTTAAAAATTCAAAGACAACAAGTTGAGGAGCTCTTACATCATTTCCTCCTTCCTCTCAGTGTTGCACAGTGGCAAGAGCCCTAGACTGGGAGTCAGAAGACCTGGGTTCAAATCCCAGTTCCAGGGGCAGCTAGGTGGCACAGTGGATAGAGCACCAGCCGAGAAGTCAGGAGGACCTGAGTTCAAATACGACTTCAGACGAAACACTTGACACTTACTAACTGTGTGACCCTGTGTAAGTCACTTAACCCCAATTGCCTAAAAAAAAAAAAAAAAACCCAGTTCTGCTACATACTAGCCATGTTATCTCGTGCCTTCCTGAAATTCAGTTTCTTCATCTATATAATGGAGCACAGGTGTGAATAGATAAGTCCTAAAATCCCTTCCCCTGGGCAGCTAGCTAGGCTGAGCCTAGAGTCAGGAAGAACCATCTTCCTGAGTTCAAATCTGACCTGAGACACTTACTCGTTGTGTGATACTAGCTAAGTCACTTTAACCCTGTTTGCCTCAGTTTCCTCATCTGTAAAATGGGCTGGAGAAGGAAATGGCAAACCACTCTAGTGTCTTTGACAAGAAAACCCCAAATGGGTCACAAAGAGTCAGACACGACTGAAACGAATGAACAACAAAAAGTCTCTTCCAGCTATAACATTCTGGGACTCAATGATCTTTTGCACAGGGTAAGCTATGTTTCATGGCACACTAGGGTGGGCTTTTCAACTGTCTGGGATGATTGATACATACTTGGTGATGAAGCCCACTGTTGTCCTTGTCAGTCCCATTAGACATAGTCAAAATCCATTGTTGCATCATATGAAACACATTAGTTTGGACTACCCTGATGGAGACATCAAGTAAATTTTAGAGAAGTGATTCAACTCTGAAAATACATATCTAAATAACTATTAGCTAAAAGCTGAGCAGTTTATTTGACCAGGTCTATACAGTTCAAAGTAGAGTGGTGAGTTGACTATTTTCTTGTGACTTTAGGCCATGTGGACCAAAATCCTGATCTGCTTGGTCTGGTTACTCACACCCTACCAAATCACTGGACAGCTACCAACAGTTGTCAGTGCTTCACTTTGACCTACATAGATCTATCTTTTTAATGTTGGTTGTCTACCACAAGAAGTATCTTCCTTATACACAACCATTTTTAATCTAATGTATTACTTTCTAAATAAAAACTGAGGAGGTGATACAGAAAATCCCCACAAAAGAAGGGAACTAAATAAAATGAAAACTCCTAAGTCTGGCACCAAAGGCATTCCATTCTGTCTTACCTTTCCAGTCTTATTCCCATTCTGGCAAAACTATACTGCTAGTTTTCCCATTTCCTACTGTAAAGGGGTTGTTCAGGCGAGTTCTCCAATCACCTTGATGAGCTCATAGGTTGGTGAGCCATTGTTTGGGATCTTTGACTGTCTGTGACTCCACCTGTGGAGTACGGAGGGAACCCCCTGCACCTTGTCAAGACAACAAAAAATAACTTCCATTTAAGTCCCAGTGATTGGGGCTGCCCTGAGATAAATGCCTTGACTCAGACTCTTGAGAGGATGGGCTCTGTTGGGAAGAGCCACCCATTGTGCTGGCATATAAATGAAAACTGGCAAACCATTTTTGGCATTTTTCAGAAAGATCCTCCATGGAGCTAAGAGCAGAGCTAAGTGCTAGGTCTTGGGTGGGTGGGTGGGGGAGTTGAGTAGGGGCAGGAGGGGCTGTGCATGTATATACACAGTTCCATCCCCTATCCCCAGGAACTATTAATGGCTGCCTTAGGAGCAGATATACATGTGAACTGAATGTGTTCTCCCATAGCATTCTGAGCACAGGAAACTACCTGTGAACGCAATTTTCTAGACCAAGAGAGGGCAACAGCTGGAACAATGGTGGAGCATCCTGGAAAAGCACATGGAAACTGTATGTGTTCACCCACCACTGAGAGACTTCATGGACAATGTTCCTGAATCAAAAGCCCTTTTGTGTGCTGGGGGAGGGAGGGAGTAGATTTTGTTTTCCAAGGCAGTGTTATTCTTAAATCTAGTCTTCTGGTTGAAGAAGAGAGATTTATTGGAGATTGCCTCATGAGTAACCATAAGTTCAAGAGTTCAGAGATCTAGCCTTCTTAGAAATAGAAGTGGAAGTTCCTGAAAATGTATTCCTGAGTCTAATAGATATGATCACCCAATAAGAGGTTCAAATCATGATGTGGGAGAGCAGAATATCTATACTTTGCTCCCTATACTTGCCATTAGTTATTTGGACAATGGAGGTCCTATGGGAAGGTGGTTGCCTTCCAGTCGCACCAAAGTGTGTTTCCATTCTGAGAGGAAACCATATTTAAAACCACAATGTGTCACTATGAGTGTGTAAAGGACTGGGTAGGACCCTATGGGAAAGAGAGAGAGATCTACCAAAACATCAGTTTACCCCAATAGAAATCCTAAGATAAGTTACCTCCTGAGGGAGGTAGAAATAGGATGCTGTTCAGTCTGGAAGTTCCTATTGAGAAATGGAACCCAAATGGAGATAAGAATAATTGTTCTTGGTTGTTTATGGGCTATTGAGAATCTATATATTGTTTATGGGCTTCTTTGAGTCCTTTATGTCTTCTTTTCGTGTAAGATAAAATAAAGGCTATCCTGTGTCTGATATGCATTTTTTTTTCTTTGAATACTTATATGGGAGCTGGGCTTCTGGTTACCCACATTTGTGAAAGTTATGTTCAGAGATTTCCAAGACTAAACTCTAAATGAGGGTATAACCAGCCAAAGAGAAAAACTGACTTTTTAAGGAAACTCCCAAGATGATATCCAGTTCATGTGAGCCCAGATTTTGGTGAATGCTGGGTCATGGATTAGCCTTTTGCTTAAGCTTTGCCCTAAGCCTGGAATGTCCTCCCCTTCTCCCATCTTTACTAACTGAAATTCTACCTGTATCCCAGGGCTAGGAAGCTTATCTTGATCTATTTGCAACACTCAGGAATGACTCTTTTCCCTTGGAATTTGTATAATAATTGCTTTGTGCCTCTTTAAACACTTACCATGTTATTACTTATATATTTATCATATGTTATTTCATATTCTAGTTCTTTGTGTACATGTTGTCTCCTCACAGTAGAATGTAAGGGCATGAACTGTTTATGCTTTTTCTTTATATCTCCAGGATTTAACATAGTCCCTGGACCATGGTAAGTATTTAATAAATGTTTGTTAAGTCATTGTTTTGTATTTATGTCATGACCCCTTAGTAAACTATAAGCTCCTTGAAAGCAGAGACTATCATGTTCAATTGTTGAACTTCCTCAAAACCTAGCTCAGTATTTGCACACAGTGGGCTCTTAATTAATGTTTATTGAAACTGTTTAAGTTGAAGGAAGAACTAAGGTAAAACAATTTTCACTTACGGCACATAATTACTCTTTATCTGCTCTTCAGTCAATGGGATAACACCAATAACACCTAACATCCCATCCAGTAAATTGAGGAATTCAGGAATTCTTGCATAAAGTGCCCTCCAGTCCCCCGGAGTCATTGCAGAAATTGGGTGGTTGCTTTCCATCTTGAATATCCACATTTCAAAAGCAGAATTTAAGCTTAGAAAAAACTTGTTATAACCTAAGAATAAAGATGGAAAAAAGCATTAAGTGGGATTGTTGGAGTTTTTCTCCACAATAAAAAAAATGGGTTTTTATAAAAGCATGTTGGTGATTTAATACTAAATAACCCTTTTTGTACTGCTTAGCCATTTGGTAATTTCTCTATACAGCAGTTTTTAGTCTGATTTCTTTGAATTCTTAGCTGGGAACCAGATACAACGAGTCATTGCCAATTATGTTACTTCATACTCAAATACTCAAAATGATCTTTGATCTGTTAAAATCTCTCCAATGATGCAGATTGCAATTTCTCTATGACTGCCCATTCTAAACTCTGGTCCATACCCTTCCATAAATTCACCCCAGAAGGTTCAACCACTGTGTAATGGTTCTTCTTCACTTTCCCCTGACATCACAAGAATACTAGTGAAGCATATGGACTATCCACCAGTTATTGCTCATTCTCAAGCCCTGACCAGTCCATCTTCTTCAGTCATACATTTTCAGGATGACATCCTTTACTCTGATTTTTGCTCATGGTTAATTTATTATGTATTTCAGCCTACTTACACCTATTATCGTGTCTTTTTTCCATTGCCCTTTGAGTGATACTCATTTTTAATTCTTTGAAGACTCAAGAGTTCCATGACTCAACCATAAAATAACACTGGTAGAATGTTGGTATGTTTTACATGGACCTTTTTCCCAGGGAGAAGTTTGGAGCCATTAAGAAAGTTTGCAATTTACCAAAGGGCAATACAGCCTCTTGTATCTACGGTTTAATTCTGGGCCCAACTTTCCCATTTGCATTGCCTGTTTGGTTGGTTGTTGTTCTTTGTCCTCAAAGAGGACCAAAATGACATCTTTATGCTAGAGTCTAGTTTTACCGTGTCTGACTGTGGCTGATCAGACCAATAGGAGCTCAGAATGTTCTTCATAGATAGGGCACAAATAGTCCGTGTGAACATTTGGGGTGGATTCTCTAAATTTGCACATCTTGCATTTCCTTTGAGCTATTTCAATTCTGCTTTGCTTATAGAACACAGCATCTTCTCTGATGTGGGCATGTCATGCTGAGCAGTCCTGTGCCAGTGTCTCCCATGTTACACCATCAGTTCCTGAGTTCTTAAGAGGGACCTTGAGAGTGTCCCTGTATCACTTCTTCTGACCACCATGTGAACATTTGCCCTGTGTGAGTTCTACATAAAATAGTCTTTTTGACAAGTGTACATTTTGCATTTGAACAGCATGGCCAACCCATTGGAATTGTGCTCTCTGAAGTAGAGTTTGAATACTTGGCAGTTTAGTTCCAGAAAGGACCTCGGTGTCTGGTATCTTATCCCGCCAGTGATCTTCAGAATCTTCCTAAGACAATTCAAATGGAAGCAATTCAGTTGCTTGGCATGGGGCTGGTATATCATCCACATTTCACAGGCGTACAACAATGAAGTCAGCACGATGGCTCTGTAGACCTTCAGTTTGGTAGTCGGTCTAATGCCTCTTCTCTCCCATACTTTCCTTCAGAGCCTCCCAAACACTGAGCTAGCTCCAGCAATGCATGCATCAACCTCATTATCACTGCATACATCCCTGGAAAGTACACACTACCAAGGTAAGTGAACTTATATATACATATGTGTATATATGTATATTTTACATTGTATATATGTGTGTGTATGTATTTACATATACATATATTACATGATGAGCTCTATAAGTTGTTCATCAAACTCTTGTGTCATAATCTGGATAACAGGTGGCATCCTCCATTCACTGGGTTTTTTTCTGTCTGAATAGTTAGGTCAGACTCTGTTGAGTGGTTTCAGATTTCCTCCAGGAGACACCACAATGTTCTAGGGCTTGAAAATAACTAGCATAAAGTCATGTGCAAACAGGAGCATCTGGAGGATCTCACTCTTAAGATAGAATCTCTCTTCAATTTAGACTCTGCACTGGAAGTCATCCTTATAATAGTGGCAAACATCTTTGGTGAGCATATGTCACTCAGCACTTGATATTATATTAATATCAGTCACTTGATATTAACAATCAGAGGATCATTAGACAAAATTATCTCCATTATATCTTTCAAGGAATCCTGAATAGTTTTGGTGTATGTTATGTATGGCAGGCACCTTGTTGGAAAATAGCTTTTCAGAAGCATTTTGTTTTACCAAATCATGTGCTTTTCTTTTTTGTATAATCAATAAACAGAATATCAATAAGCAGAATAGGATCTTGTATTTTCTAATTCTTTTAGTCAATAGCATGACTATAAAATGGTGATCTGCCATGGACCATTGTTCATGAAAGCCTGCTTGTTTCTTACTAATACTCTCATTAAAGATACTCTTGATGCATGATCTTCATAAAAATTGTATATTGATGTAAATGTAAGCAAATGGATGGGTGCTTGTTGATGCCCTCTTGTTGACTTTTCAGTATTGACAAAGTCTAATTTTTTTTTTCCCACATCCCTGGTATCTTCCCCTTCTTCCTCTATCTTGTGAATCTAATCTTTAGTGTTCTCAAATACTTCCAGCACAAACCTCCTCTATGTAAACTTGGTATAATTTAGCTGCATTTTCCTTTTGGTTCTCTTTAGTGCCAATTTTTTGTCCTTTATCTGGGACTATAAAATGAGGCTTTAATGATCCAGGATCGTGAAAAGAGCATGTTATAAAAAAAACCTTTGCAGATCTTTTCCATTTTCTTCTCTTTGTTATCCTTACATTTTCATCTGTAATACTCCCACCCAGGCAAAGTGGATAAAGTATCTGCCCCTTATCCAGGTACAGAGTATCTTACTCAGCATTCTCTTAGCCAATTAAGAGTCATGCCTCTCCTTCATGAGGCACAGGGCTTTCCCCGTGCCCACTTCACCCAGGTAGGACATAGTGTTACACATCCTTAAGTTCCCAAGGGATAATTTTGCTTAATTGGATCTCTAAGCTTTCTTTAAACTGGTTTTACCCTGTACTACTTCTTTTATGAGGCCATACTACTGATTTTGATCTTTGCTCTAACAAATCAGTGGACTAGTTATGCAAGCAGATTTAGGAATGGCTGCCACATCAGTAAAACAAGCTATTCATTTCCTGTCTGTCAAAATATTGAATCAATATCATTTTGTATTGTTATTTGGTAGTTGATTTGTCCAACATCCCTGGATTATTTTCTTAAAGAAGATATTCATTATCAAGGGAACTAATGAAAATAAATGCTAGGGAAGGTGTCTTAGCCATACCAGATCTTAAATTGTATTATAAAGCCACAATCATCAAAACTACTGGGTACTGGCTAAGAAATAGTGGGGGATCAATGGAATAGTTTAGGTACACAAGACAGTAGTCAATGACTATAGTAATCTACTATTTGATAAACCCAAAGACCCCAGCTTCTGGGATAAGAACTCACTATTTGACAAAAATGGCTGGGAAGACTGGAAGATAGTATGGCAGAAACTAGGCATAGACCAACATCTTACACCATATACCAAAATAAAGTCAAAATGGATACACAATTTAGATATGAAGGCTGATACTATAAGCAAACTGAGAGAGCAAGGAATAGTTTACCTGTTAGATTTATGGAGAATGGAAGAATTTATGACCAAACAAGAGATAGAGAATATTATGAAATGCAAAATGGATAATTTTGATTACATTAAATTGTAAAGTTTTTGCACAAACAAAGCCAATGCAACCAAGATTAGGAGGGAAGCAGAAAATTGGGATAGAATTTTTACAACCAGTGTCTTTTATAAAGGCCTCATTTCTAAAAATATAGAGAACTAAGTCCAATTTATAAGAATACAAGTCATTCCCCAATTGATAAATGGTCAAAGGATATGAACAGGCAGTTTTCAAAAGAAGAAATTAAAGCTATCTATAGTCATATGAAAAAATGCTCTCAATCTATTGATTAGAAAAATGCAAGTCAAGAAGACTCTAAGGTACCTATCAGATTGGCTAACATGACAAAACAGGAAAATAATAAATGTTGGAGAAGATGTGGGAAAATTGGAACACTAATGCATTGTTGGTGGTATTGTGAACTGATCCAGCCATTTTGGAGAGCAATTTGGAACTATGTCCAAAGGGCTATAAAAATGTGCATACCCTTTGACCCAACAATACCACTTCTAGGGCTGTATCCCAAAGAGATCATAAAAATGGGGAAAGGACCCACATATATAAAAATACTTATAGCAGTTCTTTCTGTGGTGGCAAAAAATTGGAAATTGAGGGGATGCCAGGGGTAGCTAGGTGGCCATGAAACCTTAAGTCATGAAACGATACTGACTGAATCCATTACAAATACCCAATTTCTAAGTTATGTTGGGGGGACAGCTAGGTGGCACAGTGGATAGAGCACCAGCCCTGAAGTCAGGAGGACCTGAGTTCAAATGTGGCCTCAAACCAAACACTTGACACTTACTAGCTGGGTGACCCTGGGAAAGTTACTTAATCCCAATTGCCTAAAAAAAAATTTGAGGGGATGCCATCAATTGGGGACTGGTTAAACAAGTTGTGGTATATGAATGTAATGGAATACTATTGTGCTATAAGAAATGATGAGCAGGCAGACTTTAGAAAAACCTGGAGAGACTTGCATGGACTGATACAGAGTGAAGTGAGCAGAACCAGGAGAACATTGTACACAGTAACAGCCACATTATGGGATGACTGACTTTTATAGACATCTCTTCTCAGCAATGCAAGAATCTAAGACATCTCCAAAGGCCTCATGATGGAAAATGCTATCCACATTCAGAGAAAGAACTATGGAGTCTGAATGCAGATGGAAGCGTACCATTTGCTCTTTTTTTTTCTTCTGTTTTGTTTTGTTTCTGCTTTCCTGTGGCTCCTCCTATTTGTTCCTATTCTTCTTTACAACATGACTAATGTGAAAATATGTTTAATAGGAATATATATGTAGAGTCTATGTCAGATTGTACACCATCTTGGGGAGGGAGTAGGGAAAGGAAAGGGAGAAAATTTGAAACTCAAAAGCTTATGGAAATGAATGTTGAAAACTAAAAATAAATTAATTAATTATAAAAAATTAGATATTTATAACATATAGGCACAAGGCTTTTTTGTGGCCTATAAATTTTTGACCTCGTTTTTTATTTTTGATCTATATTTGACAATCTATTTCTCACTACCCTCACCTAGTTCTGCCCTTCCACTAACATCACCAAGTATCAAAGAGTTTGTTGATTTGATTTGGATGGTCCCATAATATTTTTATAGAATTTCTCTACCTTTTTATCCTCTGCAGCAGATAGTGATAGAGAAGCTGCAATTATTTTCATGGTAGTCCTCTTATAAATACTTATCATGAGCACTTTAATTTAATGTGTAGTATCCCATATATCCCATATCTCATAAAATGATGTTTGTTGTATTTGGGTATATGATAAGACCAGTTCTACCAACTCCTTTATTCTCTTCTCCGAGTAGTGAAAATACTACTTCATAAAGGTCATCATTTCACTGGGCCTTCTTGTTTAAAAAACACGTCTGCACTTCAGTTCTTCAAAAGATCAATGATTTCGTTATGATGGGCATAATGAGATCACAGCCTCTCTAGGATGGATTACCATGGTCAAAAAACAGCATTATTTGGCTGCCAACCATAATGAGCCTCTCTAAACAGAGCAAGGCTGATCCTCAGATGACAGATGGATATGCAGTCCTCTGCTGGGAAATACTTAAAAGTCTTTTTAGCTTGGTAGGACAGGCCAGAGCTTGTACTCAACTGACATATTAAGAACCCATCATGATGCCATGATGAGGCATCAGAGGAAGACTGGTGAAGGATGATAAACACAAAGACGGCAAATGGCTCATATGTGCACATATTCATAACCATCTCCATATACTCACGTGTAACTGTATCAAAATTACATAGCTATGATATTATTAAAATCTCAAACAGATTATTAAAATCTCAATGACCTCGCACTCGAAAGTCTGGGAAGCTTCAAGTATCTGCCACTGTACAGACCCCAGAATCCACAGAGAAGGTTTTATGAGAAGATATCACAAAGAACCAAAGATGCAAATTCCTAATTATGACCATTAAAGGTAAGATGGTACAGAGAGGAAGAGATCAGCTGTTCAAACACAGCCTCCTGAGGTTTCTGCATCACACATGATGGGTCAGGTCCTCAGCCTTGCCTTTCAAGAACTCAGTTTTATCGATTTATCCAGAAATGATAAAGCCTTCAGGAATTGGTTTGTGAAAATCAAACTTTCAAGAGAGTAATTTATAAATCAGAATGTCAATGTAATGAACTGCACTGCCAAGCTGACTGAAATACCCATATCCACAAATGACCTTAAGGGATGTTGTCATGAAGCTGTGATAGGTTGACCTGGCTTCCTCCACTAGAACAGATATCCCAAGTGCACTAGAACACTGGCATCCTTGGCCATTGTGCTTGGCCCCCTACACAGGCTGGTGAACATGCACACAAATTATCTGGTCTGGTCATCACAATAGCCCCCAAAAACTGCCAAGCAAAGTCTTGTCATATCCATTCTAAAGATAATAAAACTGGGGCATAAGGAGGTTATATTATTTTACTATATTACACTGGGATTGATGGCGGGGCCAGGGCTAGAACCTGGGGCATCCACAGGTTCTGGTAGGCTAATGGTCTTTCCAAAACTCCGCACTCCTTTTTCAAGGATACACAAACCTTCATCACCACCCTTCTCTTGTGGCAACAGTCCACTGGATATGTTGCAGTCAATTAGATTGTAGTTGCTCTTACATGAATTATATTTGGGTCTCCCAGATGAGATTTGGGAGCCATCCTGCTCCCTTTACAAAATCGGCAAACCTTTATATACTGATGGAGATTTGAGTGGCACCTTAATCTCATTGGCATATTTATTTTCTATTTTGTTACAAAACTCTAGGACTGCCTTCTTTGGAACCTGATTCCACCATACCATCCCCTCCACATACTGCCTTATCTTGCCTACAGTTACAAAAATTCAACCTGATATCATATTCTGTAGCAGCAATATCCTAAATATACAGAAGATGGCAGTGTTTCCTTGTGGAAAAAGATAAGGTGACCCTCTATTTGAGATGTGGCATTCCTCACTTTCCAGAGTTAAAGGCTGATTTATGTGAAAGATTGATTGGAAGGTGACAAGGAGGTTATAAGCCCTGTGAACTTGGGCAATGGAATTCTTTCTATTAAGCTTTCTGGGCCTCAGTTTCTTCATATCTGCCTCTCAGATCTCTTCCAGCTCTAAGTCTCTATTGCCAGGACTCCAACCATATTCAGAACATTATCTATTAAGTGACAAAGGCTAGATCAGGACTAAGTCTCTAAATTGTCTAAGTCTCTAAATCTAAAACCACTATACTAGGCTGGCTCTTCAAAGAACGCCAATAAAGACAATTTTATGAAGACAAGCAAATAACTCTAGTAGAAGCCCTCTTCAAACTTTATTTCAATTGTTCATTTTATCAAGGACAAGTGACATGCGATTTATTTTATCAAGGGCAAATGACATGACATGAGATCATGAGATTCAAGAAAACAGGTTCCAGGGTCTGCAAAAGTTAGCACAGACTCTGCCATGTATAGATTCTGTCAGGAATCTCTCAAAAAAGGATATAAAAAGGTTCAATGCTTAAAGGATTTGAGTTTTCTGAAAAGTTCCAATACTCAGAATGCCTCATTCTTAGCCCTACTGGAAAACTCAGGTTTCTCTCTCTCTCTCTCTCTCTCTCTCTCTCTCTCTCTCTCTCTC